TCAATCCATGTGCGCTGAAAAAAGAAAAAGTTTTCAGATATCATAAATGGTGCAGGTGGTCTGCGGCGTCGCGTTATTTGGAGGCATATTTTATTGCGGTTTGGAATGATCATGACCGCAAATTCTGCTGGATGCTAACGATGTGCCGTTATGGCGGCAAATTATCAAAAACTGAAAATGTGCAAAATTGTCTACCGTGTCGAAATACTTGGTACTAGATGCGTAGTTCGCCCGAATCGAAATTATACAACCAACACGAGCTCCGCTTTTGATCCGAAAATTACTTTTCTCGCTTCTCTCGTTCGTCACAATCTGTCTCCATTTTTGTAGAAATTCATTATCAGTTTCGTTCGTTTCTTTTTAATGAATTATAGTAATTAGTTGCGATCTTAAGAAAGCTCAAGGAAAAGTCATAAATTTTTGTTTACTTGGAGACGATCCCATATTTATTGGCAAGTCGCAGATTCACATTGTTTCCGCTGCTTCCATAAGCATCGCTTCTTTACCTTGTTTATACTCTGCGAATTCATATTCGAGTTTTAATGAACAATGCTCCTAAAGGAAAATTAAGCGAGCAAAAAATTAAATGATTTTAGTATATGAGGGACGAACCTTATCAATTCAGAACTTTGGTCGACGATGAGAGAAATTTTTTGGAGCAAATACCAAATGTGTCATTACGTATCCATAAATGTTTTCGTCGCTTTTTTTTCTTTTTTTTTTCCTCAACGAGAAAGGATGTGAAAGAAAATAAATCGGGGGAGAGGCTGACATGGGAATAAAAATGTTCTTAAGACTCATTGTATTTACTCCAAAGATTAAAGTCCAGTCCGAAATGAGATCCACTTTTGTTGCCTCGCTGCTTGTGTTCATTTTAATAGAAGGAAGCAAACCTGTCGTGGGTGGAGGAAAGAAAATGAAACAGCTGCAAGCCAGGGTGAAAGCATTGGAAGAGTGCCAACGTAACATTTAAAATTTGTAGAAAGTTGTGGAATGTTTATAATATTAACAAATCTTGATCTATCATATTCAATGTGATGGTGATGAAATATCTATCCCCGAGTACTTTATCATGTAGATATTGATGAGATACAAAAATATCTCCTTTTCCAAAAGATAACATCCGCCAACATACTTTCAGTGAACGTACTTTTATGTATTCACGTCCATAAGTAAAGATAAAAATGTCGTCCTGCATGGAAACCTAGTATATATAAATGTCTAGTTTTCATGAAGGGTTTTTTTAAATTCACGAACAGTGCCAGGGTTTAGTTCAACTTTTTCTACGAAAGGCAACATTACTGGGATAAGAACCTATAAATTTCATTTTTATGTCGGAGGTTATAGTAGCTTCATAGCCGGTGTGGTTTACATGCATACATTATCTGCGTCATTTGCTCTTAATATGTGCTTGAAATTTGTCTTTGATTTTAATGAAAACTATATTTTTATAATAAGCAGAACAGTACATGTCTTCCTTTTAGATTCGAATCTATTTTTACGTGTCACCCGTGAGAGAAGCTCACTCGTGAAATATAGTATCAAAATTAGTAGATAAAAAATTGTATCCATGGGCGGCCATATAATGTTCTCTTTGCACTTTTGAGCTGTTTGGGCAAAGTTGAGGAAGAAAGTTTCATATATTAATTCTTTAACGTTTTTAAAAGTTTTTCCCGTCCTTTGATAGCCTGCTCCGTGATTGAAGAGCTGTTGATGAGAGTTAAAGCTTTGGAAAATAGTACTCCAGCTCCACCTGCCCCGACAAACGCTTCAATCCCATCAGGTAAGACGAAAGCAGTCTGAATTTTATATGCTTGAAGCTGTTTTTTAACATTTTAATGTCTAGTCAGCCTTCGAAAAACTGGGCGTATAAAAAGCTGACATTATTTAGTCCCAATTTCTATAAGCTAACAACACAAAGAAGGAGACACAATTGATGAAAAGAGAAAAAGCTAACTATTTTTAGTTACAGTTGTAAATGTATTCAGGACCTCAAATAAGAAACGATTATATTGTGCCGGCTTCCTTTCTTCTCTGTAAACTGTTTCGGTGAACGTTTTTCCCAGTAAAGCGTAAGAAAAGAAATGATAGGGTCGAGTCTCTTCTAAAAAATGGTCGCTTAACAACATCAATAGCATTTGTACATCATTGATGCCCATTTAACATACAGGACAAGTTTAAAATTGTTCATGAAATAATGCAGAGTATGTATAGCTTTGTTGAACTAATTGGAAGCTTGTTTCTGTCCCGTACTGTAGAATGTCAGAACTATCAAGTTCTGGCAGATGCAAGCAGGAATGTTAACCATGGCGCAAATCCACTCTTATGCGATAACCATCTCACGCCGAACTGGTATCGCTTCCAAGGAGCGGCTGGAGTCAAAATGCTTTCATCTTGCCCGAAAACATCCAGGTGCGGTACCCACGCTACTGGGTGGTTGAGCGGCGACCATCCTTCAGTGGAAGAGGGTAAAGTCACCAGGAAGGTCTGTTTCTCGTGGAGTAATTGCTGTACCTGGTCGATCGATATCCAGGTGATGAATTGTGGCGATTTCTACATTTACTACATCGATGGAACGCCCCGGGAGCACCAGTGCCATTTGCGCTACTGCGGTACCGCCTAAGAAAGTAAGAGAGTTCCGTCGTGACGCCAGAGTCTGTAGCTTCAAGGAAAAGAGAATAAAGGGGTGATCGGGAATCTATTAAACTGCTCATAACCAGCTTAAAAAGGAGAAACTTCGTGCTTGATACTAATTGTCATGGAAAGCCATTAGTTGAGGCCTAATAAATGTACTTCAAGAAACTATTGTCTGTTTCTTTCCATGGTTTATACGGAATGAACTACTCACTGTCTCATGAAGAATGCAACTAATCCAAATTTGAGAGAATTTTCCAAACATTAAGAACTGAATCAAAATAACCATGCACTGCTGAACTCAGAAAATCAAATCAAGAAACAGTCCAGAGACTCTTTACAGAAGCCCGTCTTTTCATTATGGCTCATTAGGCCAACTCTCTTAATGGAAAATGAATAAAATTGGCTGTAAGTATATGAACATCATATATGTGAACTGCGGCTTAAGAAATGAGTTTGAAAGCGTACGGGTTTTGAACCCGTGACGTATGCGATACCGGTGAGCTAACAAGCCAACTCTGGGAGCTGGTCATTATGTTGGCTCGTAACAAACCTGTAAAGTAATGAAGCAATGAATCTAAATATACAAAAATCATATATGTAAACTGCGCTCTAAGAAATGAATTTGATAACACCATAATTCTCCGCCTCACTACAATTTTGAAAATGTGAAATTAATTTTTCCGTGTCTTTCCTTGATGAAAGTGAATGCCAAACAATAACAGCAAAGGCAAACGATAACAAAAAAATATGAATAGCAAATTCTTCAAACGAGCACTTTTGAAACAAGTGAGAACTTTTCACAGAGCGGACATGAAGTGTGGTAATTTGCCACTACTTGCACTTCGGAGTTCTACAAACATTTTTTTTCCTCTCTTCAATAAACCTGTGCGTCATCTGCTTACCACCTCCTCGGGTCATGTTTTGCCAATTCTATGGAATTGTGATAGAACAATCCAGGTCTAATATGAACTTGCTGCCAATGATGGGTAATTAATCCAATTTCACCTTATTTGTCTCTCCACATCCTCAGACCAACTCATAAAACTTCCTCGGTTCGCTTATTCGTCTGTATTTTTTATTGCAAATATTTATATTTGCCTTTCGCGTTCGGTATGACCATGAGCTCAACATGCAGTATCTTTGAACGACGTATATATCACTTGTTAAACTCAATTTGAATATTCATATCCGCTCTCCGGCCAGCTGTGACGAGTTCACTTTGTGACGCACGTCATAAACAAAACATGGCGGTCAGCGCGAGCGTCCTGGATGGAGTTGCATGAAAACGAGGTTAGAAAGGCCACACTATTGCGTTGCGTCCCTCTTCGTTTGTAGTGGCGAGTATTTCGAACATTTCAATCCGACATTTCTTACGGAAAATGATATACCTGGCGCTTCTCTTCTTGGAAGAAAACCTGACCAGTTAAAAATCTCAGAGCTTAAATTTTGGCATAAATCTCGTGGAGACGTGGGAATAAGGTTGAAGACAAAAGCAGAGCTGGTGAAGCTAGTGCATGACTAAATTAGATCCTGGTTTCTGCGGCGAGCAAGGGCAGAAACTGCTTGTTATTACTTTGAACAATTTATCAAGTTTGCTTGTGCAAAGCTTTTCAATTGAAATTGCCTGGCAGATAACAACAGTGACTTTGAAGTCTTGTAAATTTACTTGTTGACTGGGAATTAATACCTTACATGAGTAAATTCTTACTTTGTAGTTTTAATTTGTTGTGGGCTGAAATTTTTCAACCAGTTTGATTTTTAATGTCCTTTGTTTCAAAGTATGCTAAAGAATACAAAGGAAAATTAAAACCAAAGTGGTTTAGACATTTTGCACCAAAGATAATTTAAATACGACATAGACAACATGGTCTTTACAGACACAAAAGATGTCGCTCAATTATGATGTAAACCTTACGATAAATAGTCAGAACAGAGGAGAAAGTGTTGCCTTTATCTTAATGCCCAATTTGTAGCCCCTTACAATCTAGGGGGAGAAGAGATTTGTGGGTAGATTATGGGTTAAGTAATTCATTTATGCCTCACATGAATGTGATATTCACATTGATATTATGTTAGGTTGTGCATTACAACAGAATGCACACACTGCCCATATCTGGTTTACAATTCCCATTTGATGTAAACCAAGAAAAGTTTTGTTGTCGATAAATCGGATTAGCTGCATATGCCGTGAGATATACTTCTTAGAAAACTTAGAGGAATAAAATTAACTCGATAAAAACTCATGCAATATCACCAGTTAGCACCAAACAGTCGCTGAGTGCATTCCTACCCCTCTCTCTGACCTAAATAGATCGTTCAATTTCCAGTTATAACGTATACTGAATAATTACTTTAAAAGTGGAATGTCTCATGGATTGATTTTCTATTCTTTAGAAGCGCAAGTTTTTGTACTGACCCCAGTCAGTCCGATTCAAGCTCAAGATGGCGATAACATCACACTACATTGGGACCATCATTCTGGCTTTCACACACTGAGTCTTGCTCGGTGGGGGACTATGACCTCGGAAGGTACCTTGGAAACCATCATAGCTCAACAGCATGGGAATAAGCCAGTGGAGTATTTATCATCGAATTACAAAGGCCGCGTGTATGTGACGAGCAAAGCCTCTCTTTCTTTTATGGACGTTAAAGTGGATGACACCGGGCGATATGGTTGTAAGTTGTTGACGTTTGGAGACGCAACCATTTCAAATTCCACAATATCTGAAGTATCAGGTAGACGATTGTTTTTCTCATTAAGCTAAGCTAAGTTCATGCCGATAAGACACCGGGCTGAACGAGGCAGATTAATTACTCAGGGTGTTGCATCATCCCCGTCCTCGCTTTTCGTCAAGGCACTGTTACAAAATACTTCAAGTAGTCTACATCTACATCTGTTGAGCCTAATTAGTGTTATTGGTATCGTATTGTCGTCTATACTCATGTGCATGGTATCCACATGACACGCTAATTAAGCGTGCAGTTACAGATTTTGTTCCACTGAGTAATTTCGCTCGTTTATGAATGAGGTCGTTTTTTCTCTCAATTCATTTCCCTCTATGGAAAATAGCACTTTGCTCAAACTTGATTTATCGTTCGGAACAAAGTTCTTCGTTGAAGTTTTCTAACTTCTGACTTGGCCAATTATGGCTTATGCATGATTAACTGAAGGCTAAGAAACATTTAAAAGAAGGAAAAACTAATATAGTTAGATTATGCTTTTTTTCCTTTAACAATGTTGTTCTCCTCATATGATATAGCGCTGATAGAAATTGTAACATGCATGTGTTCTCTCAACATCAACGTGATCTCATAAGTATATCGATCACAACTAATCCATGCTATTTCAGTCTGTTCATCTCTTAAGCGAGACCCATTACAGACGTATCCCCCACAGCTGATGGTACTGCTGATGACAACACGATTAATACGCATCCAGTATATTTGGCCTTTGTTGCCATGGTCCTGATCCTAATTATAATAGTTGTTGTCTACTTTTTCCTCACGCGTAAAAAAAGAGGTGAGCTCGTACCCCTTCCCTCGTAAAAACCATTAAAACCGTTTGGCTAAAGTAGGTCAATGGTTTGGATTTTGGATTTGGAGGAAAAGGGTGTTGGGGGGCTTAAGATTGTTGATAAAACTGTTTCCCATTTCTTTCATGGGGGTTTGATTCTGTCCCCACCCTATTCGATATATATGCAATGCAACATATATCTTAAGACTGACGAATGATGACTTAGAAGGAAAAGGTTAATGATTTAAATGAACTGACAATCTTTATCTTATTGTTGTTTCTCAAAAGTGGCTCTTACCAAAAGGAGGTAAGTATTACGCCTGTGTCGGTTTTCTCACCGTCGGTAGTGTCCCATCTTCCATTCGCAAGTTTGCCGACAATTTTAATTTGGTGACCTCTGTCTTAAACTGTCATTCATAACATGATAGGCTTGTATACTTCTCCTGATATTCATCACGCCTTTAGTTACTCTAATTCAGTATTTACAATCCTATTTTAGTCGCATTTCTGTTCCGTTTCAACCACTCTGATTGACTTGATAGACTATGTTGTTAGCAGGAATACGATGACAAGTATGTTGTTATCTCTTTTCTTTTCTTCTAGCAAAAATGAAAGAGCTAGACTGGATACGAATATGATTTGAAATGGTAAGAATAGGATAAGATTTATCTTTTTTTTCGGGAGGATGTCCCCTAAGAAAGTTCACAGGATGATATCAAGCACGTTCCTCTAAACAATTTTCATTGCAAATTATTCTTGTATTTGAATTAATGGTAAGACTTTCGTTTTTCTCGCCACGAAAATAGATGGTGTCGAAAGGCCCTGGTTTTCAAGGGGAACGGAGGGGATGGTGGGGGACAGTTATCTCTTATAGAAATTTTTGCCGGTAGTAGGAGTATGTTTCATTGACTGCCAATCAGGGCCTTATTGAGGAAGTGGCTAAGTGTTATTACGACGAGCCAAAATCCTCCGTCCTCACCCCCCCTCCCCCCCACACCTCCTCTCAAGCTATAAACGATGAGCAGACTAAGTCTTAGTGTGTTGTACTTTCTCTGTACATAACCCACTGTCTCAAAATGACATGTACGCAAACGTAGACGCAGATGCAGGAAGAACTTCTGATCCAATTAGTTCCTCTGACGAGGTGATCCGCTAAGAATACTCAGTGATTCCTCCTATACTTCCCTACCCGACCGAAAAGGACTGGGAATTACCCAGAGGGAAACTCGTGTTTGTGAAGGTGATTGGCAGGGGAACTTTTGGTAAAGTGGCTCGAGGAATGGCAAAGGAAATAAATGACAACAAGGAAGACGTGGTTGTGGCTATCAAAATGATAAAAGGTTTGTTTAGGTTTGTCAGATAGCATGAGTGTGTAAACTTAGAAATTCTTCCATCGAGCTTCACGGTAAATTTGATTAAGAATAGAGGAAGAAAATTGGGGACGTGAATTGCTGTTTTTTTTCCATGTTCGGTTGATTTTACATTTCGACGATAACGTTTTCAAAACATTAGAGTTTTTTTCTAGTACCCGAACCATTCATAAAAACCCGTTGTTTACATTGATCTATGGTAGAAAATGCCACCGACGAAAACAGACAGGATCTCCTCGCTGAACTGAACATGATGAAGAAGCTTGAACCGTATCAAAATGTTATTCAGTTACTGCGCTGTGTCACCAAATCAGGTTTGCCAGTGAACGTAGTCTCTATGGATCACATGCACAAGGCCCCTCAGAAATATCGTTGTATCTTGCAAATGTTGTAATTTGTCGATAACGCACCAACTCACGTTTATTAGTAAACCACCTTTATAATAATCTAGAAAAACAAACCTCAGCAATCACATCTGCGGGTCACTTTATAATTCCTGAGGAAAAAATTCAAGAGCAATCGTCAAACGTCGTAGAGGATAACACGTATTTACACATTTCAAAGTTAAATTAGCTCAGATGTTTATGGTTTTGGAGGCAGATGATCCGCACACGATAAGCTTTGATCCTTACATGTCTTTCTAACAGAGAAATAGCAACCAATTTTCAAGCCTTAATTCAGGACAACGCGTTTATTGCATGATTTCAAGACATAGACCCTGTTTTTAACCCTTCCTTTTTTTTTGTTCATTGGAATATTCATATTCTCCTAACGCGTAAAGGTGGTCTTACAGGCGACAAAATGAGTAAGACCATTTAAGATTCATTCTAAGTATGCTAAATATATGGCAGTGAAAAATATAGCGAAAAAAATTGGAGTTCAAACTTTAAATCAGAAACAGCGTTAGTTCGATAACAAGTAATATGTTTTCTCAAACTACAGAGGATCTGTCACTTGATCTAAAGGGTTTTTGACAAAGAGAAAAATCAATTTATATTTAATTTCAACGTATTTTATATCTAAATTCAAATCTTGAATCGATTCAAATAAAGCACCACATTTTCTTGAAAAACTAACCCCCCCCTCGTTGTTTTGAAATACTCAAGGGCATGCAAGCAAGTTACGTCCGATGTGATTAAATGTAGCATGTCGTTGCTCTCGAGAAAACGTACGCTTGGTTGGATTCTTTCAAGAAAGTAAAGGGTAGATTGAACCCTCTCATATATCCCTTACTGAAATTTTCCTGTTCCTAGACTAGCCAGGATTCTAAAGAGGGGGGGGAGGGCATAAATTTTCCGTACGGTCATTTTTTGTTGTCAATGAAGTTCCTTGCCAATCTTTCGATAAAAGAACGTTTCAAAATAGTTGAAAATCTCAGTTTTACAATTTTCCCCTGATTCTTGTGGATTTCCTTTGTTGAGTAACTTGCCTAACAAAAATATGACAACTTTCAATTTCCCGTTAGGAAATCAATGTAATCTGAACTCCATCCGCAAATCCGTAATTAGTTTTGAACCTGAAGAGATGCGACCACTTTTGGGAGACCTCTGGGCCTCCCTTCTATCCAAACAAGGCGAACGAAATTATGCTAGGCAGATATAAAGGGAAAAAAGGCATACTTAGAAGACAATGTCCGGCGCAAGGCAATGGTTCTTTTTTTTTTTTTTGTATTATCAACTGAGTTGAGCAGTCCATTGTACTGCTGTTGACGGTAACAGTAATTGACGTCCCAACAGCTTTCGGTTTTTCATCGAAAGTCGTCATGATGACTTGCGCTTTAGTTGTCAAAACATCAGTCACTTTTAACTACAGCAGCCTTGCTCAGGACCGCTCTCAATCGGAAAATCAATTAAAGGCTTACCAGGTGCAGATGAAACATTATGCTCTAATATTTTACGTTTTGAGATTAAGTGCGCTCGAACAATATTTCAACGTGTGGCACACGGTTCTGAAGTATCTTGAGCCGTTTTTTTTAAAAATTTATTAATTTTACGATGTTTGAATGGATTGAACAGCCCCCCTATCTACTTAAATGGTTCTAAGGTGTTTGTTTTCCCTCCAAGCTTGAAGGACCGCAAGAAAAAAGGATATTTTATTTGTTAAGAATGTAAGGAAAATGAAGCAAATAAAACAAAATAAAAGGTAAAATTCTGTAAATATACCACACGCTGGTGTTGACTATTTTTTCCACCCAAAACAACCCCACTTGCATCGAGTTCTTTTGAAGGTCACGCCGTTATCTAGGTTGTGATGATCATTAAAGTAAGAACATCTATCATCTATCTAGGGCTGCCCGTTTTCCGTTTTTTTAATTTTTTAATTTTACGATGTTTAAATGGATTGAGAAGCCCCCCTCTCTGCTTAAATGACTATACGTTGTTTGTTTACCCTCCAAGCTTGAAGGACCGTAAGAAAAAAAGGATATTTTATTTGTTAAGAAGGTAAGGAAAATGAATCAAATGAACATCAAAATAAAAGGTAAAATTGTGTAAATATACACCACGTTGGTATTGACTATTTTCCACCCAAAACAACCCCCACTTGCATCGGGTTCTTTTGAAGTAACGTTGTCATCTAGGTTGTGATGATCATTAAAATAAAGACGTCTATCATCACATGTAGACACTTCAATGTAATTGGCTACTTTAATTGATCATGACCTGAACAGCTAGCCATATATATAGTCTAATTCGTTTGGGCACACAATCTTTCTTATCCTGTCGATAGATGCTGTGTTCTTTACAACATCCCAGGTAAGTTCGCATCTTCAGTTTTTAGGCAACATGCTTCTTACAGCTTCCTTGACCTAAAGAAATATACTGAAGAGATCAATCTATGTGCGCTGAAAAAGAAAAAAGGTTTCAGATATCATAAATGGTGCAATTGGTCTACGGCGTCGCGTTATTTGGAGGCATGTTTTATTGCGGTTTGGAATGATCATGACCGCAAACTCTGCTGGATGCTAACGATGCGCCGTCATGGCGGCAAATTATCAAAAAACTGAAAATGTGCAAAATTGTCTATCGTGTCGAAATACTTAGTACTAGATGCATAGTTCGCCCGAATCCAAATTAAAAAACCAACACAAGCTCCGCTTTTGATCCGTCAATTACTTTTCTCGTTTCTCTCGTTCGTCGTATTTCATAATCGGTTTCGTTCATTTTTTTTTAATGAATTATAGTAATTAGATGCGATCTTAAGAAAGCTCAAGGAAAAGTCATAAATTTGTGTTTACTGGGAGACGATCTCATATTGACTGGCAAGTTGCAGATTCACATTGTTTCCGCTGCTTCTATAAGCATCGCTCCTTTACCTTGTTTATACTCTGCGAATTCATATTCGAGTTGTAATGAACAATGCTCCTTAGGGAAAATTAAGCAAGCAAAAAATGAAATGATTTTAGTATATGAGGTACGAACCTTATCAATTCAGAACTTTGGTCGACGATGAGAGAACTTTTTTTGAGCCAATACCAAATGTGTCATTACGTATCCATAAATGTTTTCGTCGCTCTTTTTTTCTCTTTTTTTCCTTAACGAAAAAGGATGTGAAGAAAATAAATCGGGAGAGAGGCTGACATGGGAACAAAAATGTTCTTGAGACTCATTGTGTCTACTCCACAGATTAAAGTCCAGTCCAAAATGAGATCCACTTTTGTTGCCTCGCTGCTTGTGTTCATTTTAATAGAAGGAAGCAAACCTGTCGTGGGTGAAGGAAAGAAAATGAAACAGCTGCAAGCCAGGGTGAAAGCATTGGAAGAGTGCCAACGTAACATTTAAAATTTGTAGAAAGTTGTGGAATGTTTATAATACTAACAAATCTTGATCTATTATATTCAATATGATGGTGATGAAATATCTATCACAAAGTACTTTATCATGTAGATATTGATGAGATACAAAAATATCTCCTTTTTCCAAAAGATAACATCCGCCAATTTACTTTCAGTGAGCGTACTTTTATGTATTTACGTCCATAAGTAAAGATAAAAATGTCGTCCTGCATGGAAACCTAGTTTGTCTAAATAACTGTCTAGTTTTCACGAAGGTTTTTTTTTAAATTCACGAACAATGCCAGGGTTTAGTTCAACTTTTTCTACGAGAGGCAACATTCCTGGGATAAGAACCTATAAATTTCATTTTTATGTCGGAGGTTGAAGTAGCTTCATAGCCCGTGTGGTCTGCATGCATATATTATCTACGTCATTTGCTCTTAATATGTGCTTGAAATTTGTCTTTGATTTTAATGAAAATTATATTTTTATAATAAACAGAACAGTACATGTCTTCCTTTTAGATTCGAGTCTATCTTTACGTGTCACCCGTGAGATAAGCTCACTCGTGAAAGATAGTATCAACACTAGTAGATAAAAGGTTGTATCCATGGGCGGCCATGTAATGTTCTCTTTGCACTTTTGAGCTGTTTGGGTAAAGTTGAGGAAGAAAGTTTCGTATATTAACGCTTAAACGTTTTTAAAAGTTTTTCCCGTCCTTTAATAGCCTGCTCCGTGATTGAAGAGCTGTTGGTGAGAGTTAAAGCTTTGGAAAATAGGACTCCACCAGGTAAGACGAAAGCAGCCTGAATTTTACTTCCTTGAAGCTTTTTTTAACATTTTAATCTCAGAAATTAGCATTCTGCACTGGGTTGTTCAAAGCTGGGTTAAGATAACCCAGGGTTTGTGTAAAATCAGATTTAAGATCTGAAAGCTTTAAAAGAAAACTCAGCATTATTCTTTTTATCTACAATTGATTGATTGAATGCTCCAAAAGAATAGAGTAAGTTGTCTTTGAACAAAGGAATAAAGAAACTCGGATCAAAATTTACCCCTATGTTAGCGCTAATCAGCCTTCGAACAACTGGGCGTAATTTAGTCCCAATTTCTATAAGCTAACAACATAAAGGAGGAGACACAATTGATGAAAAGAGAAAAAGCTAGCTATTGCTAGTTACAGTTATAAATGTATTCAGGACCTCAAGTAAGAAACGATTATATTGTGCCGGCTTCCTTTCTTCTCTGTAAAACTGTTTCGGTGAACGTTTTTCCCAGTGAAGCGTAAGAAAAGAAATGATGGGGTCGAGTCTCTTCTAGAAAATGGTCGCTTAACAACATCAATAGCACTTGTACGTCGTTGATGCCTATTTAACATACAGGACAAGTCTGAAATTGTTCATGAAATAATGCAGAGTATGTATAGCTTTGTTGTACTAATTGGAAGCTTGTTTCTGTCCCGTACTGTAGAATGTCAGAACTATCAAGTTCTGGCGGATGCAAGCAGGAATGTTAACCATGGCGCAAATCCACTCTTATGCGATAACCATCTCACGCCGAACTGGTATCGCTTCCAAGGAGCGGCTGGAGTCAAAATGCTTTCATCTTGCCCGAAAACATCCAGGTGCGGTACCCACGCTACTGGGTGGTTGAGCGGCGACCATCCTTCAGTGGAAGAGGGTAAAGTCACCAGGAAGGTCTGTTTCTCGTGGAGTAATTGCTGTACCTGGTCGATCGATATCAAGGTGATGAATTGTGGCGATTTCTACATTTACTACATCGATGGAACGCCCCGGGAGCACCAGTGCCATTTGCGCTATTGTGGTACCGCCTAAGAAAGTAAGAGAGTTCCGTCGTGACGCGGGGGTCTGCGGCTTCAATCAAAAGGGAATAAAGTGATGATCGGGAATCTATTCAATTGTTTATAACTAGCTCAAAAAGGAGAAGCTTCGTGCTTGATACTTATAGCCTTGGAAAGTCATCAATTGAAGCCTAATAAATGTACTTCAAGAAACTGTTGTCCGTTTCTTTACATCGTTCACATATTACGAACTAAACACAGTCTCATGAAGAATGCAAGTAATCCAAATTTGAGAGAATTTTACAAATATTAAGAACGGAACCAAAATGACCATGAATTACTGAACTCAGAAAATTAAATCAGGGAATAGTCCAGAGACTCTATATAAAAGCCTGTCTTTTCATTATGGGTCATTGGGCCACGAAAATCAGATATGTGTCCTGCGGTTTAAGAAATGAATTTGATAACACCACAATTTTCCGCCCCACTACAATTTTGAAATCTTAAATTAATTTCTCCGTGTCTTTCCTTGATGAAGGTTAATACCGAACAATAACAACAAAGGCAAACGATAACAATAAATTATGAAAAGCATAAGTCAATTCTTCAAACGGGCACTTTTGAAACAAGTGAGAACTTTACACTGAGCGCTACATGAATTGCGATAGAACAATCCAGGGCCAATATGAACTTGCTGAGGGAGGCATTGGGATTTTCGGTTTCTCTTTTTTGGCTATTTTATAGATTGGTTTTTCGGTTTTTGTGCCAAAAAACTTCGCTTTCTCGGTTTTGGTGTTTCGTTGCGGTTTACGGATTTTCCGTTGATAAGCATTTGGTTTTCGGTTTTCGCGAAAAATATTAACGGGTTTTCGGATTTGATATCCAATGCAGTTTTCGGTTTCTCCAATTTGACTTATTTAGGTTCCGGTTTCTCTTCGATCTGAGCGGTGATTACGCGCCTCCACTGATCTAGCAGCTAAACGCAAATGTTATCGAGACGAATGCGTGACAAACCAATTGAAATATCGCAGAGATCCCTAGGTAGCCTACGTGTAGAATTACCTCCCCCCCCGCCAAGGTATTTTTGGAGTCCGCAGAGACCACGCTCGAGGTCCTCGAGAGAGCAGCTCTTAATTTAAGCAGATACTAAAAGATACGAATGCCATGGCATTCATAAATCCTGTAATAAAATTAGTTTAGTTTACTCTGTATGCTTAATATCTTAATAACTGGGATGTGAAAATGTATCGGTTTTGACAGTTTTGCATGCGGTTATCGGTTTTGATCAAATCCTACAGTGCATTAACAATATATATGAACTGCATTCACGGCACTCAGTGAGGGGAGTCATATTTGTTTGTCCTTTATGGTCGTCGATGTACATTAAAATAAAACTTCAACAACGAAATAACATCAGTGTACGCCATAATATAAAAATATCTTCCCGCGGAAGCGAAAGTATCGTGTTTTATTTATACAGCAATCGTTATGTTTATCCATCCCTTTAGGATTTTACACCTTGATGCATAAGAAAATATTCATAACGATTAGAATTCTTGCATAAGAAGCCTCGCTCATCTTTTAATAATGTAAATAGAAATAATACTTCATACAGTTATTCTTCTGCTATCATCGACTCTTGCGAAATACAAAACTCTGGTGTCGATACAAAAAAACAAAAAAAAAAAGTAGAAAAACTTCAGCTTGAACAAATGCTTCCCTTCTAAAGTTTTTCTTGGCCATATGTTTAGTCGAGGTGAGCGTATCTTTGCGATGTACGTGGCAAATTTATGGAGCAATTTGTAATGTGTTATTATCGGCTCTGAATTTAAAAAAAGTTGTATGAACGCTGCACGGTGGCCAACATGTTGAAATTAGTGTGTCACGCAACGATTTAGAATTGCCTGAGGATATTGCTCATGGCAATAATTACACTGATCTAACTCCAAAGAGCCCGGTAGGGCCGATATCATTATTAGGCATTATTTTCCATACTTTTGCCTGTAGTTTAGCCATAGGTAATATTTCGTTTTGCCTCTCAGACCCTTATAACCAATTTGAAATGGTCAAGGGCATGCATGCAAGTTAAGTCCAGTGTGATTAATCAATAGCATGTCGTTACTCTGGAACGAACTTATACCAGGTTGGATTCTTTCAAGAAAGTAAAGGGTAGATTGAACCCCTTCATATATCTCCTACTGAAATTTTCCTGTTCCTGGGCTAGCCAGGATTCTAAAGAGGGTGCGGGGGGCATAAATTTTCCGATTTCATTTTTTATTTGTTTGTTTGTTTTTTTTTTTTGCCAAAACAAACGGTACATCGGCTTGAGCGAACAAAATCCTACCAAAGCTAACATTGTAACTTGTATTCCAGGAATGAAGCTACCCTTATTCCCAAGAAAAATCGAACGAGCAACATGCCGCAAGATCTAAGAACGACGATTAATAATTTCTTAACAAACGAATCGAACAGTGAACGCCCCAACTTTACCGACGGATTGAGACCGATCAATCACGACCGATCAACACCACTAGAGTCTTATAGTCAACAACATTGAGGCAAAACTGACCAATCGGTTTTTTACGAACCGGACTTAGAACGTTCGACTGACAACAACTGTTCAATTGACTCTGATGATGACTTCGGCCAAGGTTGTCGAAACGTTAGTCACCACTACCGACAACAGTGCCTCTCAGGACTGCACACACCCTGACGATCAAACTACACTATTGCATGTTACTCCCGGGTACAAACCATTTACTGTAATAATTTCCGAAAAAAGAGTCAAGCGAGGTAATCCAGAGTTCAAAAGAGTGTTCAAAGCAATTGACGTTTCCTACATCAACTGAACTCTGTAAGCCCAAAAAGATTTGACGCAAACAATGAGAACCTGCTCGGGAACCATTTAGCCTTCAAATATTTTGCTGATGTTTCACTCACCTAGCTTCAGTGTAAAGGACACCAACTCTGGTGACAATAAGAGAGTAAGTTTAATAGTCTTGTGGAATTTGTTGGCGAGAAGAACGAAACTTTGGATCTCAGTTTTACCCAGATATTTCACAAAGGAAAAATGGCATCGATTAACATTTGATAGATGGGAGGGTTTTTAAGGGCTAGAAGCTTGAAGCATTTTCGAAGAAATCGATCATGTGAGCTCTTTGAAAAAAAAATTTCCTGTGTAAACATGTCAGTAGCCTTGCAATGACATACAACGTTTGTTGATTGCAAATTTCAACAAGACTTTGGTATATGATTGATTCGCCAGAAATGCCGGCGCAAACGGCTTTCGGTAAGCGCCTTCAGCAATTTGAATAGACAGCTTTCAAAACTCGTATATAGATGTAGGTTAAATCTTAAGAATAGCGATAGCAATAACTTGCGACGCCTTTGTTTCCTAAATTACATCTGGATCGCGTTCCTTTGTATACGACACTGTTGTCCAGGTTGCAGCCAACATTTTCGCAATAACACGTAATTAAATTTGTCACTCCAGCGGGGTCGAGCCGAGCGAAAAGAAAATGAAAAGTTTAGAAGCTTGAAGTAACATTTTACGGAGTAGTTTGATCGTCTGCTTGAGAGCAGTCCATTTTAGTGCTGTTGACGATTTTTTATCGAAAGTCATCATGATGACTTGCGCTTTAGCTGTCAAAGCATCAGTCACCTTTAACTACAGCAGCCCTGTTCAGGACCACCCTCACTCGTAAAATCAATCAAAAGCTTACCAAGTGCAGATGAAACATAATGCTCTTATATTTTACGTTTTGAGGTTTAGTTTTCTCGAACAATATTTCAACGTGTGGCACACGGTTCTAAAGTATCTTGAGCCGTTTTTTTTTTAATTTTTTAATTTTACGATGTTTAAATGGATTGAGCAGCCCCCCCTCTCCGCTTAAATAACTATAAAGTGTTTCAAGCTTGAAGGACCGCAAGAAAAAAGGGTATTTTATTTGTTAAGAAGGTAAGGAAAATGAAGCAAAGGAAACATCAAAATAAAAGGTAAAATTGTGTAATTATACCCCACGTTGGTGTTGACTATTTTCCACCCAAAACAACACCCACTTGCATCGAGCTCTTTTGAAGGTAACGTTGTCGTCTAGGTTGTGATGATCATTAAAACAAAGACGTCTATCATCACATGTAGACACTTCAGTGCAATTGGCTACTTTAATTGTTCATGACCCGAACAGCTAACCATATATGTAGTCGAATTCGTTTGGGCACACAATCTTTCTTATCCTGTTGATAGACGCTGTGTTCTTTACAACATCTCAGGTAAGTTCGCATCTCCAGTTTTTAGGCAACATGATTTTTACAGCTTCCTTGACCTAAAAAATATACTGAAGAGTTCAATCTATGTGCGCTGAAAAAAAAAAAAAAAGTTTTCAGATATCATAAATGGTGCAGGTGGTCTACGGCGTCGCGTTATTTGGAGGCATATACTGCGGTTTAGAATGATCATGACCGCAAATTTTGCTGGATGCTAACGATGTGCCGTTATGGCGGCAAATTATCAAAAACTGAAAATGTGCAAAATTGTCTACCTTGTCGAAATACTTGGTACTGGATGCGTAGTTCGCCCGAATCCAAATTATACAACCAACACAAGCTCCACTTTTGATCCGAAAATTAATTTTCTCGTTTCTCTCGTTCGTCACGATCTGCCTCCATTTTTGAAGAAATTCATAATCGGTTTCGTTCGTTTCTTTTTAATGAATTATAGTAATGAGTTGCGATCTAAAGAAAGCTCAAGGAAAAGTCATAAATTTGTGTTTACGTGGAGACGATCCCATATTGACTGGCAAGATGCAGATTCACATTGTTTCCGCTGCTTCCGTAAGCATCGCTCCTTTCCCTTGTTTATACTCTGCGAATTCATATTCGAGTTGTAATGAACAATGCTCCTAAAGGAAAATTAAGCGAGCAAAAAATTAAATGATTTAGAGGTGCGAACCTTATCAATTCAGAACTTTGGTCGACGATGAGAGAACTTTTTTGGAGCAAATACCAAATGTGTCATTACGTACCCATAAATGTTTTCGTTGCTTTTTTTTTCTCTTTTTTTCCTCAACGAGAAAGGATGTGAAAGAAAATAAATCGGAAGAGAGGCTGACATGGTAATAAAAATGTTCTTGAGACTTATTGTATCTACTCCACAGATTAAAGTCCAGTCCAAAATGAGATCCACTTTTGTTGCCTCGCTGCTTGTGTTCATTTTAATAGAAGGAAGCAAACCTGTCGTGGGTGAAGGAAAGAAACTCAAACAGCTGCAAGCCAGGGTGAAAGCATTGGAAGAGTGCCAACGTAACATTTAAAACTTGTAGAAAGTTGTGGAATGTTTATAATACTAACAAATCTTGATCTATCATATTCAATGTGATGGTGATGAAATATCTATCACAGAGTACTTTATCATGTAGATATTGATGAGATACAAAAATATCTCCTTTTTCCAAAAGATAACATCCGCTAACCTACTCTCAGTGAACGTACTTTTATGTATTTACGTCCATAGGTAAAGATAAAAATGTCGTCCTCCATGGAAACCTAGTATATCTAAATAACTGTCTTGTTTTCACAAAGGGTTTTCTTAAATTCACGAACAATGCCAGGGTTTAGTTCAAATTTTTCTACGAGAGGCAATATTCTTGGGATAAGAGCCTATAAATCTCATTTTTATGTCGGAGGTTATAGTAGCTTCATAGCCGATGTGGTTTACATGCATACGTTATCTGCGTTATTTGCTCTTAATACATGCTTGAAATTTGTCTCTATAATTTTAATAAACTTATATTTTATAATAAACAGAACAGTACATGTCTTCCTTTCAGATTCGAATCTATCTTTACGTGTCACCCGTGAGAGAAGCTCACTCGTGAAATATAGTATCAAAATTAGTAGATAAAAAATTGCATCCATGGGCGGCCATGTAATGTTCTCTTTGCACTTTTGAGCTGTTTGGGTAAAATTGAGGAAGAAAGTTTCGTATATTGACTCTTCAACGTTTTTTAAAGTTTTTCCCGTCCTTTGATAGCCTGCTCCGTGATTGAAGAGCTGTTGGTGAGAGTTAAAGCTTTGGAAAATAGGACTCCAGCTCCACCTCCCCCGACAAAAGCTCCAATGCCATCAGGTAAGACGAAAGCAGTCTGAATTTTATTTCCTTGAAGCTTTTTTTAACATTTTAATGTCAGAAAATTAGCATTCTGGACCGGGTTGTTCAAGGATGGGTTAAGATAACCCAGGGTTAGTGTAAAATCAGATTTAAGATCTGAAAGCTTTAAAAGAAAACTCAGCATTATTCTTTTTATGTACAATTGGTTGATTGGATGCTCCAAAAGAATAGAGTAAGTTTTCTTTGAACAAAGGAATAAAGAAACTCGGATCAAAATTCACCCATAGGTTAGCGCTAATCAGCCTTCGAACAACTGGGCGCATAAACAGCTGACATGATTTAGTCCCAATTTCTATGAGCTAACAACACAAAGACACAAAGAAGGAGATACAATTGATGAAAAGAGAAAAAGCTATCTATTGTTAGTTACAGTTGTAAATGTATTCAGGACCTCAAATAAGAAACGATTATATTGTGCCGGCTTCCTTTCTTCTCTGTAAACTGTTTCGGTGAACGTTTTTCCTTGTGAAGCGTAAGAAAAGAAATGATAGGGTCGAGTCTCTTCTTAAAAAATGGTTGCTTAACAACAACAATAGCATTTGTACATCGTTGATGCCCATTTGACATACAGGACAAGTCTAAAACTGTTCATGAAATAATGCAGAGTATGTATAGCTTTGTTGAACTAATTGGAAGCTTGTTTCTGTCTCGTACTGTAGAATGTCAGAACTATCAAGTTCTGGCAGATGCGAGCAGGAATGTTAACCATGGCGCAAATCCACTCTTATGCGATAACCATCTCACGCCGAACTGGTATCGCTTCCAAGGAGCGGCCGGGGTTAAAATGCTTTCATCTTGCCCGCAAACATCCAGGTGCGGTACCCACGCAACTGGGTGGTTGAGTGGCGACCATCCTTCAGTGGAAGAGGGTAAAGTCACCAGGAAGGTCTGTTTCTCGTGGAGTAATTGCTGTACCTGGTCGATCGATATCCAAGTGATGAATTGTGGCGATTTCTTCATTTACTACATCGATGGAACGCCCCGGGAGCACCAGTGCCATTTGCGCTACTGCGGTACCAACTAAGAAAGTAAGAGAGTTCTGTCGTGACACCAGAGTCTGTGGCTTCAAGCAAAAGGGAATAAAGGGGTGATCGGGAATCTATTAAACTGCTCATAACTAGCTTAAAAAGGAGAAACTTCGTGCTTGATACTAATTGTCATGGAAAGCCATTAGTTGAGGCCTAATAAATGTACTTCAAGAAAGTATTGTCTGTTTCTTTCCATGGTTTATACGGGATGAACTACCCACTGTCTCATGAAGAATGCAACTAATCCAAATTTGAGAGAATTTTCCAAACATTAAGAACTGAATCAAAATAACCATGCACTGCTGAACTCAGAAAATCAAATCAAGAAACAGTCCAGAGACTCTTTACAGAAGCCCTTCTTTTCAATATGGGTCATTAGGCCAACTCTCTTAATGGAAAATGAATAAAATTGGCTGTAAATATATGAAAATCATATATGTGGACTGCAGCTTAAGAAATGAGTTTGAAAGCGTACGGGTTTTGAACCCGTGACGTCTGCGATACCGGTGCAGTGCTCTGCCAACTGAGCTAACAAGCCAACTCTGGGAGCTGGTCATTATGTTGGCTCGTAACAAACCAGTAAAGTAATGAATCGATGACTGTAAATATACGAAAATCGTATATGTAAACTACGCTTCAAGAAATGAATTTGATAACACCATAATTTTCCGCCTCACTACAATTTGAAAATGTTAAATTAATTTTTCCGTGTCTCTCTGATGAAAGTGAATACTAAACAATAACAACAAAGGCAAATGATAACAATAAATTATGAATAGCATGAGTAAATTCTTCAAACAAGCACTTTTGAAACAAGTGAGAACTTTACACTGAGCGGTAAATGAAGTGTGGTGATTTGCCACTACTTGCACTTCAGAGTTCCACACCGGCGATGTAAATACATAAAAATAACTTCAAACATTTTTTCCTCTCTTCAGTAAACCTGTGCGTCATCTGCTTACCGAAAAACCACCGCCTCGGGTCATGTTTTGCAAATTCTATGGAATTGTGATGGAACAATCCAGGTCTAATATGAACTTGCTGCCGATGATGGTTAATCAATCAAATTTCACCGTATTCGTCTCTCCACATCCTCAGACCAACTCACTCAGACCAGACCAACTCTTAAAACTTCCTCGGTTCGCTTATTCATCTGTATTTTTCATTGTAAATTTTTATATTTGCCTTTCGCGTTCGGGATGACCATGAGCGTATCTTCGAACGACGTAAATATCACTTGTTAAACTCAATTTGAATATTCATATCCGCTCTCCGGCCAGCCGTGACGAGTTTCACTTTGTGACTCACGTCATAAACAAAACAAAATACTTGGCCTCGTTATTCAGTCGATTACTGTTTTCTATCTCATCGGCGTGTGCTGGATATCTTGGTCAATATATAACTTGTAACGAAAGGTTTTCGTTTTTGTCACCGGATGTGAGCTCACGTTCAACAAAAACATCACTTGAGAACATACAAGTTACAATCGGCACGTCCGCATTAATTTTCAAGCTGCGGATGGAGTGCGGAACTTAGATATTTACTGCTGCAGTGTCAGAACTTTGTCTTACGAATGGAGTTCTCCATGCTATTTATTGCAAGCGTATTTCTCTTCATGATCTCAGGTAAGAACTTCTGGTTTGAGCCGTTAGGTTACAAAACCTGGTGATAAACTGCTATTGTACAGTTTCGAAAGTTCTAGTGGAGCGTTCTCAACTCAATAGTATACCGCAATTTTCGTAAGGGAAAAAATGTATTTATTCTGTGTCTGCGTGCCATAAAGGCTTAATCATAGTGTTGGTTGGCGTCGGTTAGCTGGATCTTATCGAAGCGCTTGATCTCTTCATCAATTTCAAAAGTCATTATAAGAAGCTTGGCGCGACTTAACAAATTAGAATCCTACAGTGCACTGACAATATATATGAACTGCATCCACGGCACTCAGTGAGGCGAGTCATATTTGTTTGTCCTTTATGGTCGTCGATTTGCATTAAAATAGAACTTCAATAACGAAATAACACCACTGGATGCCATAATATAAAAATATCTTTCCGCGGTGCGAACGTATCGAGTTTTATATATACAGCAATCGTCGTGTTTACCCAACCCTTTAGGATTTTACACCTCGATGCATAAGAAAATATTCATAACGATTAGAGTTCCTGCATAAGAAGCTTCGCTCATCTTTTAATAATATAAATAGAAATAATACTTCATACAGTTATTCTTCTGCTATCATCTACTCTTGCGAAATACAAAACTCTGGTGTCGGTACAAAAAAAAAGAAAAAGAAAAACTACAGCTTGAACAAATGCTTCCCCTCTACAGTTTTTCCTTGGCCATATGTTTAGTCGAGGTGAACGTATCTTTGCGATGTACGTGGCAAATTTTATGGAGCAATTTGTAATGTGTTATCATCGGCTCTGAATTAAAAAAAGTTGTATGAACGCTGCACGGTGGCCAACATGTTGAAATTAGTGTGTCACGCAACGATTTAAAATTGCCTGGGGATATTGATCATGACAATAATTACGCTGAACTAACTCCGAAGAGCCCGGTAGGGCCGATATCATTATCAAGCATTATTTTCCATACTTTTGCCTGTAATTAAGCCATAGGTGATATTTCGTTTTGCTTCTCAGACCCTTATAACCAATTCCTCTGGGAGAGGAACAATTGCTAAGAATGTGACATGAACAATCTATCAAGAGTGTTAAGGAAAGAGTAAACGATGGTTTCTCTAGAGAACAACAAAATATGGAGCAGTAGTTGTTCAATGAAAGACACATTCCTTTTTCTTCCTCCCGTCTGTTTGGCTACATTTTTACGAAATTGGAAAAGAGTCTACTGGGAAAGTTATAAAGGCATAAAAACCGAATAAACTGACCGACATTAGAAACCAAGAAAGGTTTTGTTGTCGATAAATCGGATTAGCTGCATATGCCGTGCTATATGTTTCTTAGAAAACTTAGATAAATAAAATTCATTCGATAAAAACTCATGCAATATCACCAGTTAGCACCAAACAGCCGCTGAGTGCATTCCTACCCCTCTCTCTGACCAAAATAGATCATTCAATTTCCAGTTATAACGTATACTGAATAACTACTTTAAAAGTGGAATGTCTCATGAATTGATTATTTTTTTTAGATGCGCAAGTTTTTGTACTGACCCCAGTCAGTCCAATTCAAGCTCAAGATGGCGATAACATCACACTACATTGGGAATATCATTCTGGCTTTCACACACTGAGTCTTGCTCAGTGGGGGACTATGACCTCGGAAGGTACTTTGGAAACCATCATAGCTCAACAGCATGGGAATAAGCCAGTGGAGTATTTATCATCGAATTACAAAGGCCGTGTGTATGTGACGAGCAAAGCCTCCCTTTCTTTCATTGACGTTAAAGTGGATGACACCGGGCGATATGGTTGTAAGTTGACGTTTGGAGACGCGACAATTTCAAATTCCACAATACTGGAAGTATCAGGTAGACGACTGTTTTTCTCATTAAGCTAAGTCTGTAGTCTGAGTACTCCGTAGTCCTTTTGATGCGGAGCCAGAGTTCTGATCGGAAGATTTCATGCCGATAAGACATCGGGCTGGAGGAGGCAGATTAATTACTCAGGGTGTTGCATCATCCCCGTCCTCGCTTTCCCTCGTGGCACTGTTACACATGACTCGCTAATTTAGCGTGCAGTTACAGATTTTTGTGCACTGAGTAATTTCGCTCGTTTATAAATGACGTCGTTTTTTCTCTCAATTCATCTCCCTCTATGGGAAATAGCACTTTGCTCAAACTTGATTTATCATTCAGAACAAAGTTATTCACTGAAGTTTTCTAACTTCCGACTTTACCAATTGTAGCTTATGCATGATTAACTGAAGGCTAAGAAACATATAAAAGAAGGAAAAACTCACATATTTATATTATGCTTTTTTTCCTTTAACAGTGTTGTTCTCCTCATAGGTGCCACTGAGAGAAATTGTAACATGCATGTGTTCTTTCAACATCAACGTCATCTCATAGATATATCGATCACAACTAATCCATGCTATTTCGGTCTGTTCATCTCTTAAGCGAGAACCATTACAGACGTATCCCCCACACCTGATGGTACTGCTGATGACGACACGATTAATACGCATCCAGTATATCTGGCCTTTGTTGCCGTGGTCCTGATCCTAATTATACTAGTTGTTGTCTACTTTTTCCTCACGCGTAGAAAAAGAGGTGAGCTCGTACACCTTCCCTCGTAAAAACCATTAAAACCGTTTGGCTAAAGTAGGTCAATGGCTTGGATTTTGGATTCGGAGGAACAGGGTGTTGGAAAGGGACGAAGGGGGGGGGGTGGGGGGTTAAGACTGTTGATAAAACTGTTTCCCATTTCTTTCATGGGAGTTTGATTCCGTCCCCACCCTATGCGATATATATGTGATGCAACATATATCTTAAGACTGACAAATGATGACTTACAAGGAAAATATTAATGATTTAAATGAACTGACAATCTCTATCTTATTTTTTTTTCTCAACAGTGGCTCGTACCAATAGGATGTAAGTATTACGCCTGTGTCGGTTTTCTCACCGTGGTGTCCCATCATCCATTGGCAAGTTTGCCGGCGATTTTAATTTGGTGACTTCTGTCTTAAACTGTCATTCATAACGTTACCAAGGTTTTACATGATAGGCTTGGTTACTTCTCCTGATATTCAGCACGCTTCTAGTCACTCTAATTCAGTATTTACAATCCTATTTTAGTCACATTTCTGTTCCGTTTCAACCACTCTGATTGACCTGATGGACTATGTTGTTAGCAGGAATACGATGTCAAGTATGTTGTTATCTCTTCTCTTCTCTTCTAGCAAAAATGAAAGAGCTAGACTGGATACGAATATGGTTGAAATGGTAAGAATAGGATAAGATTTATCTTTTTTTTCGGGAGGATGTCCCCTAAGAAAGTTCACAGGATGATATCAAGCACATTCCTCTGAACAATTTACATTGCAAATTATACTTGTTTAGGAATTAATGGCAAGACTTTCGTTTTTCTTGCCACGAAAATAGATGGTGTCGAAGGGCCTTGGTTTTCAAGGGGAACGGGGGGGGGGAGGACAGTTATCTCTTATAGCGTTTTTTACCGGTAGTAGGACTATGTTTTATTGACTGCCAATCAGGGGGAAGGAGCCTTGTTGAGGCATCGGGTAAGTTTTATTACGACGAGCCAAAATCCTCCGTCCTCACCCCCCCCCCCACACCTCCTCTCAAGCTATGATCGATGACCAGACTAAGTCGTGGTGTGTTGTACTTTCTCTGTAAAGAACCCACTGTATCAAAATTACATGTACGCAGACGTAGACGCAGACGCAGGAAGAACTCCTAATCCAATTAGTTCTTCTGACGGAGTGATCCGTCAAGAATACTCAGTGATTCCTCCTATACTTCCCAACCCGACCGAAAAGGACTGGGAATTACCCAGAGAGAATCTCGTGTTTGTGAAGGTGATTGGCAGGGGAGCTTTTGGTAAAGTGGCTCGAGGAATGGCTAAGGGAATAAATGACAACAAGGAAGACGTGGTTGTGGCTATCAAAATGTTAAAAGGTTTGTTTAATTAACTGATACCTCTAAAAAGAGTGGTTCTACAACAACCTTCACGACATTGATGGATTTATGGGTGATGATAACTTACCTTATCTTCATGCAAGTTTTTTTCGGTCTAACAAACTCAAGTGAGGGAAGACGTCAGATGGCATGAGTGTGTAGACTTAGAAATTCTTCCCTCGAGCTAATTCACGGTAAATTCGATTAAGAATGGAGGAAGAAATTTGGGGACGTAAATTGCATTTTTTTTCTTGCTCGTTTGATTTTACAATTTCGACGATAACGTTTTCAGAACATTAGAGTTTTTTTCTAGTACCCGAACCATTTATAAAAACCCGTTGTTTATGTTGATCTATGGTAGAAAATGCCACCGACGAAAACAGACAGGATCTCCTCGCTGAACTAAACATGATGAAGAAGCTTGAACCGCATCAAAATGTTATTCAGTTGCTGGGCTGTGTCACCAAATCAGGTTTGCCAGTGAACTTCATCTCTATGGATCAGATGCACAAGGCCCCTCAGAAATATCGTTGTATCTTGCAAATATTGTAATTTGTCGAAAACGCACCAACTCACGTTCATTAGTAAACCACCTTTATAACATTCTGGAGAAACAAACCTCAGCAATCACATCTGCAGGTCAACTAACGAGCTTAACATAAATGACAACTTTTTACTTTAACGAAACAGTCTCTTAGTGCAGCGCAACAACAGCGAAATGATTGTCTACACAATTGAAGATACATTTCTACGGCCTCATTCCCTGAGTGGCTGTTATAAAAATTAGCATCATTGTGAACTGTTGAGAACTGAAGTAGACCAGAAACAAAAGTGCATGTTTATGGCTCGGAAGAAAGATTCGCGATCATGCGTCCTACTGAAGTTGTGTCGATGGTTATTCTAAGGATATTTCATAACTAGCAAGAAAAAAAATTAAGCTTCGTGTAAGGGATAGTAAAAATGACGACTATTCATATCGAAACCACGAAGTTCTAAATTATTCCCGCAAATTGACCATACGTGCGTGTTTCCAATCGACCAAGTTTCATCGACAAGCGTTGACAGTTACCACGGTTATCTCTTTTGTTTAGCTTTATTTTTCCAGAGTCTACCTGCCCAACCCAAGTACCAAGGTACCTTTGTTTGTTTTTTTTTCTTTGCGATTGGAATAAAATTTTCTAGCACTGGAAAAACCACATTCGCATTTGAGAATGTATTTCGACGACAGATTTTAACCGCAAAGTAAACACATTTTGAAAAAGTGCGACCCATACCTATTTGACTACGTATGCGATAAGCATTTTGGCTACTGTATCTAGGCAACCTCGTTTTCAGAGGTCATGTTCCCTGATCTGTTGCAGGCGGAAACCACCTCCGGAGGAAGAGTTACATGTAGAAAAGAAGAGGGAATAACAAAAAAGATACATATCAAAAGGCGCGCAAAAGTAGTGCTAGTGAGGAAAATGAAGAGAAAATAACCCTTCAACTCCCAGAAGAAATTAACATGAAACTTCTCCCTATAATATCCCTACAATATCCCCCAAACTGGTGATGGGAATACTCGAACTTATCAGGTTTTTTTTTTTTTATCCTCATCTAATATCAATTTCTCACTACTAATGTACAAGGGAAAAAAATTGTTAGAGGGGAGAATTGACCATAAGATCGTGGGAGTTAAAAGGTTAATCGAAAAGAGAAGAATAGAGAAGAATTTGAAACAGAAGAGAAAGCTATCAAAGCGGAATTCTGTGATATAATCGGCTGGCCGTAATCCTTTGCTGGCCACATTAGTTCCGCCGAGATGACTGCGCTTAGAGGGAACTTTAAAAATTTGCAGCCATCTTGTCGTAACAGTCCTGTTCAAAAACATATTTTTATCGGGGTGTTTGAACTAACTTTATTTTTTTAAACGTTGTTTTTTATTTAAGATCCTGTTATGGATTTGTAACGGAGTATGTGCCACATGGAGATCTCTTTAGGTTTTCTGAGGAAGGGCTGTGGACTCCAAGACACATATTACAACACTGAAATAAAAACCCCAAAGCTCTTTTAGTTCTAACCAATTATTCAGCTTTGCTGGACATTTAGAATGGCATGGATTACTTGTCTTCAATGAAGGTACTGTAATGTGCCTGTTTACAAAGGTTGTTCTTACCACACGATTATGGCAAAAGTAGGGGCTTGATCAGGCCAGATCAGATCAACTATCTCATGTACGATAAGTGAAAAACAAGACAAATGGAAATTTAAACGCCTAGGAATGATCGCACTCATCAGAATAACACAAACGAGTGGATTGAATTTCCAGACAGCTTTCCTGTTTGCTACAGGGAACAAACCAAAGAGACAGTTGTGAAACTGAAGAAAAATAGGAGTTTCGACAGGGTACCTCAGGCCATTACCCTCACGAAATTAAAATATTTTGAGCTGTAATTTTTCCCACATTTGTTATTTAGTCGCGATGCTAAGCGCGTAAGCACAGAAGTGCATATCGGTGTCATAAGAATTATCATCCTACCCGGTTTTCCTAAAATCACTAAGATCGCCTAAGGTTGAAATACTGGAGACACCTGATATTACACAAGATTAGCTGGATTGATCTATGACGGGTTTTAACCATTCTTGCAGATAGTTCATCGCGATCTTGCAGCACGTAATGTACTGTGTTGGTGATAGAGAGACCTGCAAAATAACGGATTTTGGTTTGGTATGGGATGTTTTTTAAAGAAGACCTCTACAGAAGAACAGCCACGGTAAAACTACAAGGGATAATGATTAGTCTAAATTTCCACGTTAATAAAGTTTCTTTTTTAGCTTTGATTTCCTCTTTATTTTAGTTTTTTTGATCCGCACCATATGGTAAAACCATTTTGATCAGCGAGAGATTGCATGGTTTTAACAAGTTATGCATAAAGTTGCCTTTCAAGGTATTGATGCTCTCTCATGAAAATGTTTATTCTTTATATGTTATTGAGTGGTAGAATTCTACCAGTTATCAAGTTAAGTTTTGGCATTTGTCTCTTGATTGGTAGGGTCGTCTCCTGTAAAATGGACTGCATATGAATCTTTGTTATATGGAAAGTGTACAACGATGAGCGACATGTAAGTTACTTTCAATTGTTTGCTTTAGTTTTGGTTTTGTTACCGCTGTTCTGGATACCACTACTTTTCCTAAGTGTTCTCTTTTTTAAAAAACGGACTTCTTTGACGTATTTCATTTTAATAATTTTCAGATGGATTTTATGGAATCCTGATGTACGAAATCTTTACCATAGGTGAGAATCAACTCTTCCGTAAGACGTGTTTTCAGTTTAATCGGCGAGCATCTTTTGATACTGCCGAACCGTTTGTTCATCTTTTTACCTTTATTCCAGTGTACTTTGATGTGGTAAAACCTTCGTTAAAAAAGCTGAGAATGAAATGAGCAATATGGATAAAATATAAAACGGGTTTTGCGAGCGGATGCCCATTCCCAGACCTTCAGCACGGGCGTTTGATAGTGACCAGACCCCCAGCAAAACTCTCCTGACTTCCGAAAACTTTTAAAACTCTCCAGTCTCCTCGCATGCAAAGAAACACGCGTCCCGCAGCGTTGCTTATTTGAAGGTTTGCACGTAGGTCAATTCAAAGACTTAATATGGCACAATCTCGACTCTGTGAACGTATACTCAGGTTACAGGAAATCTGTCTTAATTTCCCTAACTCCGATCATATATGTAGCAAACATCATAATGCTTACTGTGGTTTTGCCTTTTAATATCGTTGTGAATAACAAGCTTTGATTCATAGGAGGTTCACCATATCCGAAAATCGACGGAAAATCTTTAGCCTCTTTACTTCAAGAAGGTTACAGAATGCCCAAGCCTCCACATTTGGATGAACAATTGTAAGTGGATCACTTAAAAATAAATCAGTGTCACATCTAATGAAGTTACCTCGTTCATATCTTCTGTCAGTATATACCATACAAATGAATAATGCTTTTAGCGCGCACTGATTGGCTAATTCGGAAGTAAAAAACAAGTACCATTTACCTCTGAGGAGCCGATGAAACAACATCGCGCGTCGAGAGTATAATTTCAAACCCTTGTTAGGTATATTGAAAGAAATAAACTTGTTTTTCGGTATCCATGTGGTACGTTATTCACCTCTGTCAGAGTCAATCAATATTAATTAAATCTTGTTTTCTCTTTTTTTTAGGTATAAAGTCGTAGAAAGCCTGTTAAATAAAAACCCGAGGAGCGACCACCATCATTTGCAGAGCTTTGCGCAGGACCATGGAAACGCGGGCAAAGAGAAAGAGGTATCTAAAACTTCCTTTTTTGTAATAAGCGTTATCGCATTTTGATTGTTTTCAACATAGAAGTAAAGAATTTGTTATCGCAAGCGAGCTCCAGATAAAGAAATTGAAGAAACGGGCTTGACCCTGTGTCTTCCTAACCCCTCTTCGAGGAGAGGCCCAAAACCCCATCTCTCTAGGTATTTCTGTTTATGTAAAGCTTTTTGCGGTGGAACGTTTCGAACTGAGATTGAAGAGTTCGTCATGAACATGCCTTGGGATCAGAGTCAGTTGCATTTGCTTTTTGTTCTTGTTTTGTTTTGGTCTTTATGAAAGAAAGGTAGTGTTTACCGCCTTGTGAACCTCAGTGGTCAATCATTTTTTCATTTTGCTATATCAAGAACTCAAACTGTTGCATTCATTTTCAGACCTACATCAACCTTAAGGACTACGATAGCAAACTTTACCAGAACGTTGTTGATGATATGGAAGCTTAGGCTTTGGTGCTTTTTGCGCTGTGCATACACTTTATAAAAATAGGGCTCTTTGCTAAGTCAGTGAACACCCTGATAATGCTTAGCCATATGGTGTTAAATGAGATTCTTTTAATTAGGTAGAGTACTGTGCCAGTGTGATGCAAACGATAATCGCCGATTTATCGCGATCGTCATGATGCATCGGTGATATATGAGCGATGTTTCAGTTGGAAATATCGCTGGGGCTGTTTGTTTGTCCAGTACTGTATTTAAGCCACAAAATTATGCACGTAATAGAATGTTAAAATACACGGCACACATTTTCATCATTCAAAAGTGAGTTCTAAAAGGGCGCTCCAGAACGAACAAAGATGTTATCCTTCAAACATGTATTTTTTTTGTCATAAAATACTGTGTAGGTTTAATTGTAAAGTTTCGTTAAAGCTAGCATAGTTAATATGCCCTGAATTCAGTTGGGACGTATCAAATCGAAATGAAACCAAGGACAGAATAGACAAAATATTATTTAATTTCAAAGTATATTTAAATTGGATAGAGTTTGGCAAGCATTCTTAGAAGGCTTCTATGCGCTTAAAGGTAGGAATAGAAGCCCTTAGATTGATGGCGTAAGTGATGGATGTGTTGTGGTTCAATTTTATTCATGATTCAAATTTTATTTTCCTTTGTTTCAAACTCATTATCATACATTACAATACCCAAGAACAAAAGAAAATAAAATTTGAACCTATCATATACATTGATTCAATAAACAGGTGTCAGAGGGTACAAAAAATATCAAGTGTAACTCTTGTAGTAAAATTCAGAAATACTAGCGTCTATTTTAATTTAAAATGAAACTAAGAAGGCCTCAAAGCGATTGAACGTGGCTGGCCTTTTGACTCAGTTGTTAAGGGCGCTACACTGCTAACGTAGGTTGGTCATAATTTTCAGGTTTGGCATAGGTGGGGTATAGTAAAAGTGTAGTGGACTTACATTCAAGATACAAAGATACCATACCTTTGTTTCGTACTTTTTTTTACCAAAACAAGTTATATCATATAGTTAAATGTCAGAAATTACACAGAAATGAAATCGACAAACGTTACTTTCCTTGTCACTTATTTACACTTCAGTTCCCGTCGGGTCTCTATTAACGATTGCTTATTTAGAAAGCTACGCTTCTTTTGGGCGATCATTCAATGCATCCTCTCCTATTTTAACATATCTACAACGGCGACTTCGCCATAGCGGTAAGGGCCATATTGTGCCAACAACCATGATACGATAGCTAACGCTTTTCATGAGAACGAGGAACGCTCCTCAAGAAGCTTCAGACATGATTAACTTTGCTTAGCAAAATTTGAATCATACTTTTTGTTTGAAAAGCACATCACGTATCATTTATATGCTACGATGGTTCTTTAGAAATTTAAAACGTTGAACCCACAAGAAAATGTCTCACACTACTCCACCACCTCCAGGTAGCCGCTCCCTCTCACCTATACTATACTATACTGCAGGTATAATATATTCCTTAAAAATCAAATAATGAATAGCTAAAAGAGTAAGTTATCTGTTAGCATCGCAACCTATGGTAAAAAACTCTCGCCAAAAAAAAAAAAAAAAAAAAAAAAAACAGGAAAAGAAGCAGGACAGGAAAAAAAAATAGTCGCCTAGTAACAAGGTACAAGTGCTTAGAATGAGTGCAACAAAAGTTTCCCTCTATCGATATGAATTCTCTCTCTATTCTTGTCATTACTCGTCCCAGTCCTCCAGGTTACTATAAAGATTGTCGTTGTAAACATTCATGTAAATAATTTCCTGAAACAAATGAAAAAAAAAAAAATAATAATAAAAAAGATTAGAAACTGGTAAAAGGCCAGTATGTCCACTTAGAAATATCCGTCAAGCCTTCTCTGGTCTTGATCTCTGGACGATTTGATATGCCCGAGTTAATACTGTGGCGGATCCAAGCTCATAACTCGTGCCATGGTTTGAGATCTACTCAACAGACACTTACACGAAAGGAATCGTGATTAGATTAAATCACTCTCTAGGACTATTCTAGAAGAAGAAGAACCATCAATTCTCACCTTGCGACCGTGCTCAAGCCGTTTGACTGTTCTGCTAATAGAATCAAATGTCGGACGGCGGTCCGGCTCCATATCCCAGCATTCAGACATCAGCGCATAGCTGAAGATGCAAACGTAAATCAGATCAGCTATTATCTTAAAATCTGCCGCCAAAAATATAGAAAACGAGCAGCTACAAAATGTAAATTCTGACGTTTGAGTGGCATGGAAAAGAATTGGTCAGAAATTAATATCCTGTACGTTAGAGAGGTTCGCGTAGCATCATGAGAGTTTCACATAATTTAAGCGTTTCGCGGGAATACTAAGTCATCTTTGCTCGGTCAGTCTTATGTTTAACCACTTTCTTTTTCTTATTTGTTGTAATTTTAATATTCCAACCCCTTTAAGATATCGTTATAATCATAGGTTTTTCTTTGTGATTAGTAGTGCTGCTGCATTGGATAAGGAATACGTTTCCATGTATTTTTTGGCCACATCTAATGAGTATTTTTTTTAGTGGCTTTTCGTATCTGGCGAAGCACAGGTTCTTTTCGTAGAACCATTAGTTTCAGGGTGCACAAGTTAAGATTGAATCGGGATGCGTATACTAGAAAACTGACTGACTCATCCTAAATAAACTTTTAAAATTGAATTTCACGCATGAGTGTTGTCAGAATGACATTACTCCGTCGCAAACAAAATAGTTTTCGAAGAAATTTTTGAAAGCTGGTGACGCTCAAGTAAAGCAGGTGTTGGAAAAAAATTCAGTAATGTTTTCGCCTTTGGAATTTCTTGAATGGCTTGAGGTTTGTATTAGAGACTAATCGGGTCGTCATTGTTTTGTGTTCTTGGGCAGGACGCTTCACTCACACGGTGCCTCCCTCTCCACCCTGCAAAATGTTGGGCAAACCTAACTGGAATAAGCTCCGGCCGGGGTTCTTTTTTAATGCTGTGGACCTAATTGTCGACAATAGCTCTGATAGTTTTGCCATGTTTAGTTGCTTTAACCTTTGTGATTTGTTACATTAAGGTCCCTGTTACTTTAAGCGGCTCTGAAGTAAAACGTTACGATTACAAAAGCTACCACAAAAAAATATGTCTAAATCACAAGGATTTTGTACTCACATGTCATCGTCTAAGTGGGCAGGTTTAGGCATTCTGTAACCACCCTTTATCTTATAGGGGATATTGTGAGCTGGAACCGTGGGGTATGGACGACCTCCTTTCAAGAAATAACAGTCGAAGTCAACGAACAAGCATCAAAACAAAGTAAACGCGTTCTCTCTGGTGATTCGCGGTTCGCTAACCCAGAACCTATTTGTTTAATTTCAGAATAGGTTTAGAATGCACATGCTACCTTACCTATGGTAAAGATTTCGTACAATACAATTCCATAGCTCCACCTGAAAAATAAGAGTACGAATGCTGATCAACTTATGCATACTTGTACATACTGGTAGAAGTGCTGTAAGCGAAATAATCGTACAACTGAGAACTTAAGAAGAGAGGAGCAGACGCACGCGGCAGCAGAAAGAATAACAGAAGAAATTTACACGCGCTTGGAAACAAATGGATTAAGTTCGTCGTTTTACAATTTTTTTTAAAAGAAATAAGTGTGCTGACTAAAAAGCTACGTTGCAAACCTTCCTAACTCAAGCTGCCTTCCCTATCTCAAAACATTGGAGCTTAAGCTTCTTAAAAAATGTAAGTAGCTCAACTGGCTAGTTTGAATTGGATAATTTGCATTAAAAGTGCTGTTACCCTGGTTTATCTGATATTCGCAAAACGCTTTCCGCATCAAAAAAAAAAATTACTTACACATCACTCTTTGTAGTGTAGGAACCATACAGCAATGCCTCCACTGCAGTCCACTTCACTGGGAGGCGACCCTGAAACATAAAAACATTGTAGTACAGTAGGAAAAAAAAAAGGTGATTTGTCAAAAATTGCTGGAAAAAGGTAAACTCATATATATACAACCTACTATGGCTCGGTAAAATCTATGTTCTCATGATGTTTCCACAGGTTGCTTCATAATTAGAGTTGCGCTCAGCTAAACAACATGTTGTAGGGCTTTCTAAGTTTATGATTTTGGCCATCGTCTTACTTGTGTATTGAAACAAATTTTTGAGGGGCATGCTCGGTACTATTTAGATTGCATGCCTATTAAGGGTGCAGACAGTTTTTTTTGCGCCACAAAACCACGCAGAGGACAGTTTGGGAAGGTTGAAAAGGGGCGTGTACTTGGCTTGGAGTACGATGAACCCCCTTCCATGCCAAAGGGTCAGATGATAGTACCTTTGACCGTTTTTGATAAATATCACCTCCTTGTACATCTCTGGCCATCCCAAAGTCTGTTATTTTGCATGTTTCTTCCTCGCCTACAAGTACGTTTCTGGCCGCTAGGTCGCGGTGAACTATCTAAAGGAGTTGGGAAAAAAATCAAGTGATCATATGTTATTGTCGGAGATTTGCAATTAAGCCAATGGAATAGGACCCCTGCGCAATTGAACATGCGCTTGATCGTTTTTTGTTTTCGTCATAATTGCTCTTGTGTTGTTAGAAAGCTGATTTCGCATAATCAAACAGGTTAACCTTTGGTCACCGGTCACAAATTAGAGTACTCAAGATAAAGCTTTCGCAGTGATTACTTTAAAGACTATAAATCTGAAAAAGAGCTTCTATAATGTCAAAGTAAAGCTTGGTTTTATGATGCTAACAAAATCAACTTCCATATTTCAAAGTTTATGACAACTGAAACTCCAACCCAAAATCAATCTACGTATAGCCATTATCTTACGGCTTAGCTTGCGATATCATAATTAATAATGGCAATAGGACCGAGTGGAGTCCAATTTGGTCTGTAATCATACGAGCGCTTAACAAAATTCGACGACCGCGAAGCGTGAGTCCGATTAATCGTGAGTATGTTTACAGACAGAATTAGACGACAAGAATTTCAATTACCAATTAATCATAACCATTAAAATTTCCGAAAAAACAGATACGTCTAGAACAAATATCTTCAGTTGAGAGAGTGTCTTAAGTTAAAAAATTCCTCCATTTTGGTAATTCCCCGGTTTTTCTTAGGATATACAATATTGTGAATAGTAGATTCAGCTGAAAGGGCTCAGTATGATCGGCTGCTTCAACTGTCCGATTATAGGTTTCCGATTACAGCCAACTGTCTGTTTACACTGTGTACAGAGTGATTAGTGAAAAATAAAGCTTCTAATGCACCAGTTACATTTGAGGAAATTGTAATGGTAATGATTAAATCAGGTTACGTTCTGAATATTCCTGTAAGGCTTATCTTACTGATCACAAGACTGTTTTGCAGGTCAATATGAACGTGATGAGGGAAATGTAACTACAATCAGAGTCAATTCCAGATTTGCAAGATGGCAAACTTATACATTCCCTAAAAGGAACTTTATAAATTTTGCATCCTGATATAATTCTTGAAGTTCAACGTTTACCCCACTGGCCCGTTGTGGTAAGTTTTCAGCATAGATGCATTCACAGACAATTTTCGAACGGTTGGATTACATCTTAAGAATCACAAAAGTGCAGTTCGGCTCTTTTAAAGTGCGATTAAGTGGACTCAAAACTGATTGGTTACGACTCTGTTTACCTTGTTTGCTGACAGGAAAGCCATACCATCAGCAATTTCTCGAGAAAATTTAAGAAGCTGTTTAGATGAAAGAGAACTTGATGGTTTAACATCGGGATCTTTATAGTAATTGTCACTGAGGCCTCTGGATCTTCTTAAGTAACCGAGAAGATCACCAAATGGTATATACTCGAAGAGAACCATTACTGGATCTGGAAATCGAGCGGAACAAGCCATGAGGAAGATTGCCACTTTGTCACAAAGGTCGTCAAACAGTGAATGGTAAGGGGGGGGGGGGTGGTTTTCAAACAGTCTCAATGACCTTATAGTATCAAAAATGGTCCAAAATTTCTACTGAAATGTTAAAGTTAAGCCAATGGGATCAATATCCGTTCTCCTGTGCGTTATTATCTTAAAAGTGGCAGTGAAGGTAAATCAGCATTAAGCTACTACAAAACTGCGACTCTTCTTGAATGGGGCGCTAATCCAATGTCCCCTCCTCAGACCCCCATCCAGCATTTCGTCAGGCCTTCCTGAAAGTTCACCGGTACACATTTAAACCTATGTGGGAGGTGGTGGGAGGGTGGGAGCTCTGTGAGACTGAGATATCTTGTCCTAAAACACAACAAAATGACCCGGTCCTCTTGAACCGGAGTACAGTACACAAACCCTTAAGCCACCGTCTGTCTCACCCCTTCAAAAAAAGTGCCCTCCAAAGATCAATGAGCATCAGGGTTAATAGGTGCATTTCGTTCCAAACAACCTACATGTGAGATGTACTCCCCAAACACCGTGTTCCTAAGCAATTGGTAACGTAACTTCACTGCACTGTGAAAGGATCGTTCACAGCATCAAATGGGTGCACCTTTCACTGAATCGGATTTGCAACTTCTAAATGGAAAAAAATAGTACACAATATGGTGTGGACATACCTGACATTGTCACTGCGCCCATCAGACGAATTATATTAGGATGATGTTGAAGCTGTCTCATGAGTTCGTATTCTGCTAACAAGTCTTCCTTGTTTGAATCTGTAGAGTTTTCTGAAACAAAAAAATTGTGGAGTAGAGGGGTAAATTTTATTTTCAGTCGTGCGCGGAGGGCTGCCAAACTTAATAACTAATACTGCACTTTCTGATTTTGTAAATCTTCCGTAACAATGAAGAATTGGTTCTTTTACCAGATTGCAGACACAAATTTTACACGAAGAAAGAATTTTGTTACATCCGAGTCTGCGTACCCGAAACTATGAATACAAGGCAAGGCAGGAACGACCAAGAAATGTTCGAGACAGAAGCTTCATTCAACGAAATACTAAATCTTTTGGTTCGAATTGAACAATACATGAATTTCTGTCATGTACGAAACTTACATAATTAATTTACCCTGCTTGAATCGTTGTTTACTAGAATTCACGGCCAGAAAACTGCGTAGTTCTTGGTTGAAAATTCTGAAATTGTACGATTTTTAAACAAAATCTGATTTTGAATAATTCTTTTGGGACATATCGACATTTGCAGATGATATTCAAGGTTCTAAAGAAGGGTACCACGGTCACAAAGTTTCGCTTGAATTCAGCTAGCTCAGTTTTCCTTTTCAAGCCATAATTCTATCACGATTGGGAATGAAGTATCGTGAACTCCAACATCCAACATTCCTGCCCGTAAGAGCTACATGTTCATTGCTTTTAGAATCGAGTATTATTTAGCATATTACATTTTCATTTTGAGCTCCAAAAGGTTTATCTTGATTGGGGATTGAGCGAGGAAAACAATGTTGAAAGGTTGGAACCTCTCGGCCGAATTCGACGGAAAGTACGCAGCCGTACTTACGGTAGAGATATAGATCACAGTAGCTTCCAAGATATTAAGCAGTACTAAAGCGCGCGCTATGTTATAATAATTTGCACATACATCTACGCATCGAATTATAAGAAGCAATGAGAGCACTGAAAAAGCTGTCAAATCAGATATATCTACCCATAACCTTATTCAAGCCAAAGTGAAAAAAAGAATTTCATAAGCGTGATCTTTCAATTTCTACACAATTTTGCGCGATCGTACTGTTCTTGTCATACCTTTCGGAATCTTGACAGCCACAGTTCCCAGTCCTTCAGCACGGGCTTGAGCAACCACGCAGAATGCACCCTTGCCAACATACTTTTCTATATGAAGCTTGTTCTTGGGGAATTCCCATTGCTTTTCTTCTTCTAAGCATGGAAGGTTTGCATACACAGCGCAAGTAGTTTGTCCTCGCTCACTGCTGATTGAAGATTGTGAGCGAAATACCTGAAGTTAAAGTGCAGATTCGATTAGATTCACTTTCAGAATATCGATGGCGAGGAAATGTATCTACGTTGGGTGAATGCTATCGAAATTCTTGGGATTTCTTTGATGGTCAAATGGCTTGACAACTTGGTAAATTTATAAAGGAGCAAGCTCAAATACGAAGAAAACGCTACAGCAGTTCAGCTTCGGTGTTTTCTGCAACGCGAGAAAAGAAAAAACACCGAAACAAAACAAAACTTCCCCTATTCCATGGCGGTCTCTATACTTTTAAGTGCACAAGACAACTATTAACAGTCATGTCGTGATCTTGTAGAGTGCTAATTCTCGTCAGTAAAGTCAAAATTTCAAAGCTGGTTTGCAATGGCAGTAAATAAGGCTGCTTTTATTGATTTCACCTCGTCTCACCTCACATGCCCGTCTACATAAGGCAACAAAAACATAAAACAACTGTTGTAGATATTCTTGACCGTACTTCAGTTCCAATCAATATGAAAACAGTTTTGAACACTTGGTCGTGATAAGGAAGAAGGGAAAAGGGTGGCGGGTAGTTTTAGCACAGATCTTATTCACGGATGGCATATAACTAAGGGAAGTTGTGACGCTCTTACTTCCCAAAACTTATTTCATATCTAAACACTAGAAGCTATTCGAGTTAGAGAATAAAGACATTTCTTCATACCTTATTGTACGTATTTGGTATGCTTTCGGCCCTTCGAGGACTCCTTTCAGGATCGAATTCGCTGTAAGAAAATTACAGTGAACATGTTAATTAGGAGATTTGACATCAAAGTGAAAACAAGAGTAGCTTATAAAGTTCATAGAATGAGCGAGTGACACGTTGATAGGAAAACAAAGTGCAGAAATTTCAGGAATTGAAACGGGAAAAAGATTTCAGCCTTCGATCGGGCCTGCACGCGTTCCTCTCACATACCAATTCAGTAGGCGCCACTACCAACCAGTGACCAGTGAGGCCGCAAGCTACTTAGCATCTTTAGGTGAAGGGGGGGGACAAGAAGCACCGACGTTTCGTAATTTCTCTCTCTTTCAGGTCTTACATGTACTCTTCTTTATATTTCTTTAACTGACGTTAAGTTGTGGGAATCGATAATTTTATCACTTGCCACTGACACGTGGATTACCTTACATAGCAGCTATATCATTACTAATCAACTAACCGCGGCTGAAGTTCACACAGTTCTTGCATTGGAGTTGCTGAATGAAATCAATGTATAGATCATTAGTAATAGACAAGAAAACAAACTGCCCTCTTTGTTTTTTCTTTTTCTTTTTCTTTTTTTATCTCTACCAAATATACATGAAATTGAAGTACTGATCGGTTTTTGGGACTCCAAAGAGTAACCTTGTATTTCCAACACTTTCTTAAAATACCTTTCCTGGCGGGAAACCCAATCCCCAGTTTACAAACCAAAGTCCCTTTATCTGGTTCAACAACGCTTTCTGCTTCGAAACGTGTTTTTCAAGCATGCTCCGCAGAAATTGATAAAAGAGAAATGGTAAATGAGCTTAAATGGCTACGTTTTTTGAGCAGGGTTGAAAATGAAAATGCTTTAATAAACCTTTCCACTTTCGGGGACAAATTTTCTCAGTTTAGAAAGGCGTTTAGAGGAACGAAGCGCGCTCATTTTCACAATTGGACTTTTTTCCTTTTAATGACATAGGAAAAATTTCTTATAATCTGGGGTATACTTTTCCTATAAGCGTGTTCAATTGCTGTCTTCAGTTCCGTCACATGTTCCCCTTGCACATGCATGCGGGGGTAACCTAAACAGGACAAAAAGTACATGGATAAACCAGGTAAATCGAAAGACATTGCACACTATGGCTCCACTCATAAAACCCTTCACAACTTAAGACTTAAGAGCTCTTGTTAAAACTTCTTTTACCAAGATTCACTCGTGACAACTGCTAAAAACTAAGAAATAGCGGACTTAGAAAATCGAAGAATGATGTTTATCAAACGCTTAGCATCCAGTTACGGGCATAGAAACGTGCCGGGCAAATTATACTTATCTACCTGGTAAAATTTATGTTACAAAGTACAGTCCAATTCACAAAGTAAACTCACCTGTATTACGCTTTCTTTTAATACAGCAACCAACCACTATAACAATTGCAAGAAAACCAACGCCGCCACCGACAGCAGCAGCATATAAGGGGACATTTGAGCCTTCTGTGACACAAGAAAGAAAGTAGCCAATTCACATAATTTAATCACAGCTCTTGAAGTTATATGATCAAAATTTCATGTATCTATCTTACTTTCAGTTGTCAAAGGTGGCTTTTCTTTTCCATTCCTTACATATTTAATTATTTACGCCAACGACTCTTTTTCTCCCGAAAATCAGGGCTCCAGTTCTATCTTCCATCGTCGTTTCATACAACGAGCAATAACTCATCTCAATTTTGTGACTGAATGTTGAGAAGGCAATTTTTCTCGGATCTGGAAATTCGATTATGTCGTTGCACTTTCGATTCGACTGTAAAACAAATGTTCATTATAACAAGCCTTTCCCCAAAAGAGAAATGGTGGCGTCAATGAATTTCTGTCGAACAGATATCAAGTTATGGCTATCCAGAAATTGATACAGATAAGGTCGATTTAGTCTTCGTAGTTGTGATTAATGTTGGACAAAGGATAATATATTCTGTTGAATGTACTCTTGACGGATGGTGCGTGACGAATATCGATATAGATAGCAAGAAAATTTAAACTCCATCGCTCCCATAGGATGATTTTATGAGCCATATCGTATTCGAGCTCTGGAAATCATGTTAAAATAGATGAGGTTGTTTCGCAAAACTGGCGTATACACGACGCGGGATATCAGTTGCAGGGCAGAATACCGCCTAAGCTATCCGCCTCAGCAATTAATACAATAATTGACGTCAAGTCAATTGAATAATAATTGACGTTGGAACTGCGCAACCAGTCTGACGAGAAAGAAGGGGGGATGGAGGAATTCCCTTCGAATCTTGACAATGCACGATACCTGGTCAAAGTAACCCCACAAGATCGTCTCCATATCGGCCCTTGTAACTCACATCTACGCTTGCATATAATGGATACAACCTGTATATCTCACCTGAAGTTGTCGTTGTGGGTTTGGCAGTCGATAATGTTGGTTCTGAAAAAAAAACAGAATTGGAGCAGTAAAAACTAGAGCATAATAAATATTTTTGCGAGTGTTCTCGTTTTGTATGAAGTGTATTGCAAACCGTTTTTAATACTAGGTAGGAATTGATCGGATTCTCAGAGCTTCGGTGACCGTTTCCCGTTTCTGTCCCACGACTCGACTGGGGACATGTAGTCTCTCACCTGTAGTTATCGTTGTGGGTTTGGCAGTCGATGATGTTGGTTCTGGAAAAAGCAGAAGTAAAGTGGTAAAAGCTGGAGCATAATAAATATGTTGGTAAGTGTTCTCGTTTTGTAAGAAGTGTATCTCAAACAGTTTTTGATACAAGGTAAGAATTATTCGGATTCTCACAGCTTCAATGGCCTTTTCTCGTTTCTGTCCCATGACTCGACTGGGGACGTGTAGTCTCTCACCTGTAGTTATCGTTGTGGGTTTGGCAGTCGATGATGTTGGTTCTGGAAAAAGCAGAAGTAAAGTGGTAAAAGCTGGAGCATAATAAATATGTTGGTAAGTGTTCTCGTTTTGTAAGAAGTGTATCTCAAACAGTTTTTGATACAAGGTAAGAATTATTCGGATTCTCACAGCTTCAATGGCCTTTTCTCGTTTCTGTCCCATGACTCGACTGGGGACATGTAGTCTCTCACCTGTAGTTATCGTTGTGGGTTTGGCAGTCGATGATGTTGGTTCTGGAAAAAGCAGAAGTAAAGTGGTAAAAGCTGGAGCATAATAAATATGTTGGTAAGTGTTCTCGTTTTGTAAGAAGTGTATCTCAAACAGTTTTTGATACAAGGTAAGAAGTATTCGGATTCTCACAGCTTCAATGGCCTTTTCTCGTTTCTGTCCCATGACTCGACCGGGGACATATAATGGAATGCTAGTTCAGTGCATGCCGTTCGCCAACATTTTCTTCCTCTATAGCTAACAATTAATTTATTAAGAATTGATCGGATTCTCAGAGCTTCGATGGCCTTTTCCCGTTTCTGACCCATGACTCGACCGGGGACATGTAGTCTCTCACCTAGAATTATCGTTGTGTGTTTGGCAGTCGATGGTGTTGGTTCTGGAAAAAAGCAGAATTGAAGTAGTAAAAGCTGGAGCATAATAAATATGTTTGTAAGTGTTCTCGTTTTGTAAGAAGTGTATCCCAAACAGTTTTTGATACAAGGTAAGAATTATTCGGATTCTCACAGCTTCAATGGCCTTTTCCCGTTTCTGTCCTCGACTGACTCGACTGGGGACATATAATGGAATGCCAGTTCAATGCATGCCATTCGCCAACATTTTCTTCCTCTATAGCTAACAATTAATTTATTAAGAATTGATCGGATTCTCAGAGCTTCGATGGCCTTTTCCCGTTTCTGACCCATGACTCGACCGGGGACATGTAGTCTCTCACCTAGAATTATCGTTGTGTGTTTGGCAGTCGATGGTGTTGGTTCTGGAAAAAAGCAGAATTGAAGTAGTAAAAGCTGAAGCATAATAAATATGTTTGTTAGTGTTCTCGTTTTGTAAGAAGTGTATCCCAAACAGTTTTTGATACAAGGTAAGAATTATTCGGATTCTCACAGCTTCAATGGCCTTTTCCCGTTTCTGTCCTCGACTGACTCGACTGGGGACATATAATGGAATGCCAGTTCAATGCATGCCATTCGCCAACATTTTCTTCCTCTAACAATTAACTAGTATCCATTTAAACCCCTGGGTAGTAAGGTACATTGAAATAAAGCGTCCTGTTGTAGAATACAAAACGCTTCTCCTTGTTATGGTTCATACTTAAGCCAGCTCGCTCAAGAGCGAGTAACACGTGGAAAGACTTCCATAACGCTCATCTGATTACTACGTTAGAACACATGGCTTACCAGGTACAACAGTGAAAGTCTCCAGTTTACTTTTATTACTCTGGCCTTGGTTGTTTACGGCCATTAGAGCAAATTCATAGGACACGCCCCAGTTCAGCGTGAAACTATAGTTCAAGATGTTTCCAACGTCTGTTTCGTTCCATTGACTTGAGTTCAACACCCGGTGACAGATCACGTATTTAAAAATTGGTCTGCCATTTTCTTCAGGTTTTGTCCATCGAAGGGTGAGAGAAGGGTCGATTAGTTGTAAAAATGTATTTGTGATGGTTGGTGGGTCAGGTGGAAAGGCTGCAACGGGAAGATTTTGAATGATAAAACAAATTACATACGCAGCGTAATTGCACAGAGGGCCCTGAATGAATGAGTCGTTTTCTCTAGGATGGTTTAAACTAAAGTAAAACAGACTGCTCTAAATTTTATAAAAGGTTTAAGAAGTCAAAATTTCGAGGAAGCATCTAACATCAGGCCTCAGTCGGGAATCAGCTGTTACCTGTACCAAGGAGGTAAAGGACATTGTACAGTATTCGATGGTGCACAGTAAACTGTCCGCTATGACATCTTCAACTGCATTCAATGACAGTTCATCCTGTTGCACACATTGAAAAATTGCACACAAGAAATTACACACGTGACAACTGGCCATGTACTTCCGATCTTTTGTTTAGGTTTCACTTAATTTTATTTTGGAAGGAGTAAATTCAGTTACCAGAATCAGACAGAGTATTTGTCAAGTATCATCAAGTGTAGGTAGTTTCTCTGACCTGTTCGTATTACTTCAACGTGTAGTTTATCCTTTCCAAGTTTATTCTGTGCCACACAAGTGTAGTTACCAAACTCCTCTGCCTTAGAAGGATAGATATCAAAAATCCCAGATATGGTTCCATTCCATATCACACGTCCGTCTTTTGACCATGAGATTTCCGGTGTCGGATTCCCTTCTGCGCGGCAGATTAGTGAGGAATTTTGGTAAAGCGATGAGTTTATTTGAGACAAAAGACCTGTTCTGTTTATTTCAGGTTTATCTGAAGAATACAAAAAAAAATTATTTAAAAATTATCTACGTCTCGGGGATTTTTCTGCATCTGTTTTTTATTTGTTCATGCTGTCTTGCGGGCATTTGCGGTGCAAGAATTTCGTTGTTTCTTAATAAAATATCGGAGCCGTTTGGAAGAGCCAAATGTATTTTAGATAAGGGATTGGCACTAACATGGCAAAACAGTTTTGTTGGAAAAGATTGGTTTTCTGTAACGTTCCCTCCTGAGTCTATGTGGTTCATAGTAATGATGATGCTGATAGGAGCAGATAAAGTGAAAATGATGATGATAATTGTAGTAGTCAATTATTCGATGAGGTTGAGCATGATTTCATGCGAAAACCGAATTCAACAATTTATAATTGTTTTGTAATACATCTTTTTTAAACATTCCCCAAACGAAGCCATTTTGCTTTGAGTTTGCAAGAGTTTGAGGATACATCATTGACATAATGGATGCAACATCCGCTGTAGTCATTGGATATTGATTGAAACCTCTCAACAAGACAGAATTTTCATAGTAAGCCCATTGTATAATAACAAGAATGATAACTCTAATGATAATGCGGATAATGACATTAAAAAAGCTAACGATAATTACAAACATTATGTAAAATAGTCTTAATGAATGATTAAACCCAATTTAAGACTTAAAAGATGTCTTTGGCAGAGTATTTTTTCATAACTGTGTACTTACAGTACACAATCACTGTGATATTCCTAACCAAGTTTGCGGTATTGTTTGTTGCAGTACAGCTGTAATTCCCCGAACTGTTCCTTTTAATGTCCAAAATTTTTAATAGCTTTGCGTTTGATATAGCATCGTCTTCGCCAGATCTGTGCCAAGAGAAATTGAAGCTGTTTGTTGCGTTGGTGTCATTAGCTGATCGCAAACAAGTAATGTTGTAATCTTCTCCTTCAACGGTTCTGATCAAATCTGAAGGTAAAAGGAGAATGAAAGTAAATGTATGAATCACAGAGTAGCTTAAACTGACATCTTTCCAAGCGCGTAACGTGACATAATTTTTTTTTTCAATTTGTTCCTTTCTTTTTCTTTTAGCTCGCTACTAGAGGAGTCACACCTGCTTACGCCATCGTGTAGAGTCTTCGTACAGGGTTTTTTTGTCTAATGTTCCGTAATAAAAGCGCGCGCGAAGCTGTACGGGTACGGACGCTTTTTTAAGTTACATGAAATCGTAAACTGTATCTGTCCTGCGCCCTGCAATTATTATTGAAGGATGATAAACAGAGTACTGTCCGCTGCTCTAAGAATACTCTCAAATATCGGATATCAGACTGCCAGTTCCTTTCTCCAAATAGATAACATACAAGGACAAATATCAAAGTATATTTTACCTCTAAATGGCCTTCTCATTTCTAATCTTTTTATTCTTTGTTTGCTAATTATGGCTAACACGTGTCAAAAGTTTCGTTTCATCTAAAGTTTATAGAAATGTACCTCATTTCAATGCGTCATAGAACAAAATCCCACGAAATAGGCTCAGTAAAGCAACCATAAATGTAGCTACAAATTAATTAGAGAATATCGCTCGCTGGGATATTCATTCGCAAACATTATCTGTTCCATCAAAGATCAGCCGCCTTATGAGGTAAGCTTCGAGAATCTTACGTCGCAAAAAGTCGCTTTATAAACTTTTCTTTCGACAAGTCAACAGACGCGGAAGCAGAATTGAAATACCGCGATAGCTGTGAGTTTCATTTAATTCACAAAAGGAAGGATTGATGTGCTCCTAGCCCTGACGTATGGTCGCTATAAATAACTTTCATCTATTTGAAGTTAAGTAATTTAACTTGTCAGACTTTGAAACAATATCTGATTTCAACTAAAACAAAAACACAGTAAAGTAGTTATACTTTTGAGCCTTCCACTTGCAACAAAGTGTAAATTGATTCCGTTATGAGATTCGCAACAACAAAATTAAACTCTTAGTATTCGAAGAAAAAGATTTCTAGACAGCTCGTCAAATTCATTATGAAATGGAAATAAAAATATTTCTGCACTCAGTTTGGAAGGATGAGGAAACGGAAGTCATATGGCCAAGTTTCATAACGACCTTCAATCAATCACCCATAACTCTCGAGCGTTTAACGATTCAATTATGAACCGAAACAGAAAGTTTTCGTCAGCTAAATCGCTCAAACTTCACAAATCAAAGGTGGCTGCTTAAATCTGAAGAAAATGCTCAGACATATTAAAAATACCATCATGCAAGTTAGAACCTGCTGAGTAGTATACCTAATAAATTGCTAGTTATCATAGAGCTGTCAACATATCGCGAATCGATTCGCAATATGTTAATATTCCCTCTCTGCCTGTTTTGAGAATTACTGATTTTTCAGTGACTTCCCGCTTCCATACATTTGCTTCTAAACAGTTTTAAAAGATGTCGGAGGTTTGTGTAAAGAAAAGATGACTAGGTGGCATAATAAGGAGCTAAGCGGCACATGTGTCGGCAGATTATTTGCGAGGATTCTAGCATCCAGCATTGCGAATGAGACCGACGAAATGGTGCATGGAACGTCAACAAAAGCTCCATGTTGTGTTATTGCTTCTATTTAAATGAATTCTAGATACCTGATGAAGAGTGACTCTCAAGATTTCCCAAAATCCATGAAACGGCGAAGAGTAAGAGGAGCAGTTTCATTGCGGTCGTTCGACTCAGAATGGAAGGTGAACGGGTTGCGTGACACTTTGGAATAAATCCGCCGTAATCTTATTAGTCAATTAATAATGAGGAACCAAGAGTCGGAAACTTAACCACAGATCGTGGTTCCGCTCCGTGGCTGGTACAGGAGATGAAACATTTGCACGTGTCGGCTCGCAGGCGACGGGACAGTTGCCAACTCGATCTCGTCACCTGCATATATTATATGTACAAGGAGCAGTTCTCAGTTCCCTGACCGGCGTAAAGCACATTTCTACTCTGGTAAACTATTAATTGGACTCAAATATCCTTTCAAAGTATCAATCAGATCGGCTACGCCTGGATAGATTTGTCATAAAAAAAAAGAACTTTAATATTTCCTGAGAATTTTTAATCTTCCCCCTTATATTCATCTGACGACAACAGATCCCTCCTTATTTCCCCCTGAAAACTATATGATCCCCTCAAAATCCTCTGAATACCCGAGGCGATAAATAATGACCGGTATAATGTTGAGTTAGAGTTAGCTTCTCGACTAAGGTGCTAACCAATGTAAATTGTGAAACTCTGGTTTGAGTGTCAAAGATTTGATAATTAATCTGTGACCCCAAAACACATCACGTACCCGTACAACACTTTTGTCACACCTTGCAAATACTTTCTGCATTTTGACACTACGCGTTCAGGTCGAACTAGGACAAGTTATTTACGATTTGAATTTAAGCAAGCTTTTTACCCAAATTGTAGAAAAACTACGGTGAATATATGAACATTTTGAACAGCGGATAAATATATAAATGAATATCGATCATAGCATATTGAAAATAACGCCTTAAAAAAAGTCAGGCTTGTACGGGAGTTGAATCCATGACCTCATGCAATGTTCTTTATCTATATCATATATCTCTTCAAATCATATTCACAGTCGTTTATTCATCACTCAAGGGTTTATGACGAACCAGCTATGACAACGAGAACCATTGTGTCCATGTTAATTACGATGCTCTAGGCTGGTAAGCTCATCCAAGGTGCTTTGTTTTCATTTTAAGTCAGATCGTTTTGCCTTGGTTTCTTCTTTGTTTTTTGTTTGTTTCCTTTGTTTTCTTTTGTTTTTGTTTTGATTATTTATCCCTCTCAAGCCCCCTTTCCGCCTAAGCACTATTTTTTCATACATAAAAGTAAAACTTTAAGCAACTTATATGTTTATTTTTATTTATATTAATTGATTAATCAATAAATAACATCCACAACATTGTTTTAATATATTAAATTTCTTATAATATTTTACTCTGTTATCATTTTTACGAAGCAGTGATATTAGTGCCCGTTGATGCAAGATTCTGACAAAATTAAATGCGAAGTTTGTCAATTCGCATTTTCCGTTAGATTTCACCCAAAAATAAATCCAGCCGACTACAAGTTATTTTTATTCTGTCCGCTTGTCCGCTGGGGACGAATCATCACATAATGCTGTAGGTGTATTGTGAGCAGTCCACGATCTTCATCGAATTGAATAATTCTAAACAGTTTAAAGCATAAATTAAATAAAGCTGCTTAAGCCGACGAACCTCTCCTGGGTGAGGTCCCGCAGAGATCTCGATAGGTCTGTTTGTTTCGATAGGTTGATTGTTTCACTACAGAGCTTCCTATCTTTTCCTCATAACATTTGAAGGAACTTGAGCCCGAGGCTTTCGCTAAACGATGCTTTCCCTAATGAAATATACCTTCAAGAAGAAAATAAACAGTCACCTTCATAATCGAAAAATCTCTGGTCTAGTTTATTTCTCACACCCACTAAATCCTAGCTTTTTCCAAAACCATAAGGATGTTTTTTGACGCTGATCGTCCGCTATTCCATCTCCCAATTAGCAGGTTCATTATTTTGTGTACCCTGATGGCAAAATTCGTCTTGAAAACTCATATCACCATAGCACTCGCTCTAACTTAATGTTTTAACGGTTGCTTCCGGTCGTGCCCTAAAATTGCTCTTATAACGCTACCGGCAAAAACTTTGGAAAATTAACGACTTAGTGACTTAGTTTTGTCTAATACTTCAGAATTTATTAACTAATTCTCTTTATCATCCTTTCCGACGTGTAATAATAGACATCTAACTATCCTCTAATGTCTTGTCCATTTTCCTTCACAGTTTCAGTCAGTTCTCAAGGCCTTTATATATGCAGAGTGATGTTTAATGGCCAGTGACCAATTGCACTATGCATTAAAGCCTATCCATTTCACAAAGTTTAAATAAATTGATGTTGTTGTTCATAGCAAAACAAAGGCAGCTTTTAAACTGTAGCAAGGTGTTTCGTTTGGAATCGGACATAACTTTTTTATAATGAAAAAAAAAAGTTATGACGTTTTATGCTGCCATTAGGAGAAATGTCTCCACTTATTCTACTAGACAGTTCCTTTGGATGCTTTTTAACGTTTACTCTGTCTTAAGATCTCTTCTCATTTCTTTCTTGTAAAACTGACGTGTTGCATTCAATAAAATAACAGCAGATGTCTTTATCGTCAACTTTTTGATGACAAGACAAAGGGGTAGGCTTCGCAACGAGCAATACTGAAAGGCAGGTGTTCCTGTAAATCTTCTAAATTTGCATTTTTATCGTGAACTCAGAGCTTCTTATCTTTAAAAAAAAATAGCTAATTCGTCTCTAAAAAAATAATAATAATTCATGTGTCGAATCCGCTCCAAAAGCAAAAAACATCTGCATGCCTGGGGGGGTAATTTTCGCGTGCCGGTTATAAGTAAGGTTCAGTTTTTTTTAAAGTACTCTGACAGTCGAGAAAGCCTCACGTAAACAGTTCAACGAGAATTGCCAAACATTTGGAATGGACGTCTCTCATGAGATCTGTCCGCTTTTTGCCCTCGACAAGGATAACTTCAGTGAAGTCTTCACCGCTTTGAATATTTTCGTGGTATTACTGAACGGTATATTTTTGCTGATAATATTGATATCGAACACACTTGTTGTTTTTGTGATATGTTACAAGCCTTCTCTTCACACTTCGTCAAACATCTTCTTAGCATCTCAAGCAAGCGCCAGTATCGCGGTTTCGCTTCTGGCACAACCGTCATTAATCGTTTTGGAAATCGAAGAGATCCGTGGAAATGCCAATGGCTATTGCATATCCCAATCGATAACTATTGCAGTGTCTATAATTTGCATTTTTGTTTTTTCCTTCTCTGTTTTGGGAATTGTAGTGGATCAATACTTGGCCTTACAGTATGCAGATTGGCATGCCTCAAAGGTTACACCAAGAAA